TGCATTGTGGGAAACGTTAAAGGTGCTTTGGTGAATGGAGTATTGTGCCTTTCTGTGTGCCTCATGTAACATGGGTTTGGATTGCTGGAAGCGGTTTCTCTGACGGTTTTTCGGAGTCTGAATGTCTGAATCATTTTATGTTCTTGCGTCACTGCCTGTCGATGTGTGAAGATCGTTTTTATGTATCATCAGTCTTAGAACCGCTGCTCCAGGTACAACTCTCTGGATCGGTTCATTGGTCATGTAAGCATTAACGGTGGTGAGAATCATGTTCAGAATCGCATCACGTCAGATTTAGAGGAGAAATATGATTGTTGTGTATCTAAGTTAAACCTAAGTATATGAAACATAAGCCCTCTTCCATTTTGTTTACTACCTGTATGAACAATATTATGTTTATTTTTCCAGTTAAGTTGCTTGAAGAAGTGTCATTTGTGGCAAAGACGAAGTGTTGTATGCTGTTTCATTTGGAATGACATTTCATGTTGCACTCCGCTGCTGAAGTACAGTAAAGACACTTTGTACATCTATTTATGGGTGCTTGTTTCTAATTTAACTTGTGGAATGTTGATACTGTTTTATGTCCTCCCACCAAAAACAAGCCTCTTTCAACTGTCACAGCTCAATTAGATGTTTTAGCCTTTTTTGAAGAAGAATTGAATAATTTTGTTTAAAAAAAAAGACAGTTGCAAATTGTTCATTCACTACATTAAACACATCTTACAATGTTGTAAATAACTTCTGATTCCAAGGAAATATGGTTCTTTTGATCCATCTAAGAGTCAGTTTCCATTTACAGGGTATCTGCGGGGTCTTAAAATATCTTACATTTTAAAAAACAAATGTTTGGCCCTAAAAAGTCTAAATCCACTGAAATATTTTGTTGTAGGTTTTAAATCATTTTAAATGGGTCTTCATTATCTTATGTCCATGTAAAGCTATACCCAATTGGGCCAACACTCATCCAATCACTAACAGTATATTTCATTAAAAGTTTAAGAACAGTTTATTACATTACATTACATTTGTTTTTAATGTTTTTTAAGGTTTTATCTTGGCCATAAAAAAAAACATCTTAAGCGTTAAGCCTTGTGTAAGTGTGAAATTTCATTCATTATGGTCTGAAGTGAAGTTTCACAAACTATTTTTGAGAGGAGCACCTTACATGATTGACTGCAGCTGGTCTCTCATCTACAATTATTAGTTAGCCAATCAGATTAATCCAAACTCACTATAAGTAACCTAGCAAAAATGACTCCCTTATCTTCGTCTTCCAAAGAAACCCCCCCATCCACCCCATCTTCCCCTGCCTTCCTTTACCATGGGGAGCTCTCGAGAACCACCTGATCTCGTACTACCCTTACATGCTCTATCGACCTGGCAGGATACATGGGCTAAATTATCTTCGAGCTCAGGGTTCTCTCCGAAACAATATCTAAGTGTGTACTCTTGAAAAAGGTCTTAAAGTCTTAAATTTGACTTGATAAAACCTTTAGAAACCCTGATTTAAACAATGTTAAATAGCAAAAACTAAACTAAAATGTTTATCGCACGTCAACTCAATGGGTTTTATGTTTGAAAATAAATTAACATAGTTATTTTTAGCATATCAATAGATTCACTGGGCATCTTGTCATGTGCAGTTTACTTCAACTGGGTTGGGCTTGTTTTGCACTTCTAATTGTCTTAAATCTTCATTACATTAAAACCCCGTAATTGTGCTGGGATTATTGATTTAAGACTGTTGTCTGTATTGGCATGAGAGCATCACTCAGAATTGTATCCATAATGTGAATCTCCTGTTCCAGCACATCCCAAAAGGATGTGTTGATTAAGATGTAGTGACTGTGGATGCCATATGAGTTTTGAGAACTTACTGTCATAATTGAGATCTCTGAGCTTTGATTGTGTGTTATTCATCAGCAAAATGGGTAGACTGACTGTGGTCATAAATAGACAAACCTCATCAGCAGCAATGCTGAAATGTGTAAATAATTCCCAAATGGTACTCTGGGATCTATAGTGAGGGGAAAAAAAACTACCCCAGACTATCACATCACCATGGGTAGTACAAACTGTTATACAAGGCAGGATGGATCCATGCTCTCATGCCAGTTGTATTTAGTTCTGTCTTTACCATCTTAATGTTGCAACGGAAAGACTCAGGGAAAACTTTTTCTGATGTATTCCCATTTCAGTGAGCCTGTGTGAATTGTCCCCCAATTTGGTGTTGATATCTGATAGAAATATCACTGGCCTGGGGCCTGTACCATGAAGCTGGATTCGCTACGATCCATTTTAGGTAAAATGAAGTTAGCAGATTTTGATCACTCTTAGTTGCCAAAGCAGCGGAGCTCAGCCACTTCATGGTACTTAAAACCCAGAATTGGTGCAAAATAAACAGTGGGTAGTGCTGTTGCCTTACAGCAAGAAGGTCACTGGTTTGAGCCTCGGCTAGGTCAGTTGGCATTTCGGTGTGGAGTTTGCATGTTCTCCCCGTGTTTGCGTGGGTTTTCTCCGGGTGCTCCGGTTTCCCCCACAGGTCCAAAGACAAGCACTGTTGGAGAATTGGGTAAGCTAAATTGTTTGTAGTGTATGTAGTTGATTGAATGAGAGTGTATGGGTGTTTCCCTGTGATGGGTTGCAGCTGGAAGGACATCTGCTGTGTAAAAACATATGCTGGATAAGTTGGCGGTTCATTTCACGGTAGCGTCACCTGATTAATAAAGGGACGAAGCCGAAAAGAAAATGAATGAATAAATGGCTAACCAGCTAATCTGGCCTCATGCTACTGCCCCATGTTCTTTTTCTGCTGCTGTAGCTCATCTTATTCAAGGTTTGACATGTTTTTTGTTCATAAATGCTTTTCTGTAGATCTCAACTGCGACTGATTCACTTTCAGTTCGAATGAGCCTAGTTATTCTCTGACCTCTGACATATTCGCCTAAAGGAAACTAGATATTCTTCTTTTTTCAGATCTAGACATGGTTGTGTGTGAAAATTGCTGTAGATAAGCAGTTTCTACAATACTCTGAGGAGACCATCTGGCACCAACAGCCATTTTGCAGTTGAATCACCTTTCTTTGCCTTTCTGATGCTCTCAATGTCAGTTTCCACAAATTCCACTGATCAAGTGTAGTTTAGTAGACTCTCACAACTTTTGGCTTATTCCCTTTATCAGGGGTCGCCACAGCAGAATGAACTGCCAATTGCTCTGGAATATGTTTTTTGGGTATGATTTTGCCAAGTAAGATGTGATTAACATTTATGTTAATCCTGGAACTTCATTTTGTTTTAAAATTTTATTCATACCTAATCCCTATTCTTAGATCTAACCCTAACTGTAAAATACTTCTAATATCATGTGGGATTTATAGTTGCATTGTCATTGAAGCACATAACTATAAATTCTACACAAACTGGAATCTTATCCTTATATCTGATAGGCTGATTGGAATATTGTTCCAAGATCAACATAGATGTTCATCCAGCAACATGTCTGACTTTGCTTGAATACACACTTAACAACACACCACAAACACAAACACACACACACACACACACACACACACACACACACACACACACACACACACACACACACACACACACACACACACACACCAGTTAATTTGTCCAATTCAGCAAATCAACATGAGTTGGAGTGTTTGATAACTCATGCAAACTCAGGGAGAACATGCAAACTTCATACAAAAACGCATCCTGGCTCAGCTGAGGCTCGAATCAGAGACCTTCAATCTTTAAGACGTCAGTGATACTAAGCCACCTTGTGACCCTTAAGCATAGTTTACACCAACGTTCAATTAATCGATTAATCAGTAACCTTAATAATGCGTGATGCGTCTACTTCAATGGCACATCAAGGCTTATGCCGTTTAGTTATTATTAGCCTATTTATCTGTGGAGGAGCAGGAGTGATAATTAAATAAAGTGAAGATTCAGTTGACCAATAAGAGTTTACATATAAAAATGTATATAAATAAATCACTTTGAAGTGGAATAATTAACACTTTTTTTTTTACAATTGTTTATTTGATTTGTTTTATTAAAATGTCATTTAATAAAAAAATACATTTTAAAAATATTAAATGTATAAATAAGTAGATAAATTTAAATTAAGTTTGTTTAAAAGTTAATATTATATTATATTATATTATATTATATTATATTATAACATATTATATTATATTATATTATATTATATTATATGCTAGAATGTTGCATGTTTAGATAAGTAATATTGTTATCAGTTTTTAGGGTGTGACCACATTTAGCATTGCCATGCACATCAATTATTGATTCCTCCTTTGCCAAGTCATTTATTGTTCAAATCATGTTTACATTCAGGTCTTATCTCCATGGAAACCAATAACTAGAACTTAACACGCTACCATTCCTCAAACAAAACAATTAATTACGCTTATCTAAGTGGCGGCAGTAATACTGAAGCTTATTTTTATGCTGAGCCCTTTATGTTTTAAGACCCATAAAAACTGAGACATCCAGGAAACAACAGTGGATTTGTGTTGACCTTAACTGTGTACTTTGAGACCTTGTTTCTCCTGCATGTTTTCATAATCAGTTTGAGAGATGTCATGGTCATTTATAAAAACCTTTCTTTGATTTATGCTCAACTGTGATTCAGTATCTGTTCAGAGAGACTTATGTCAGTGAATGTTTCTTCTGGATTCTCCCAGTTTTACTGCTTAACAGCCTCTCTGACTCAACTAATAAAGCTGTTCTCTGGTGCCATCTTCCTCTTGCGTGAAAGTCCAAAAGGCACCTGTCATGCGTAGTTAATGGATTGAGGATAGAGGAATCCTTTTTGATTAGATTTCAAATTTTAATTGAAAATGAGCTTCAAGCCACAAAGAAACTCTTGTTTTTAAAGTCATTGTCTAACTCGTTGTTTATTTGTTGCATTTCAGCTGAATAGAAACTTGACTGAAACCCACTGAAATCTGTCAGTCTGCTGGTGACGTCCATTCAGTGGTTGATGGTGATAATCTGCCCATGGTGGAGCAAAGTCTATTGGGTCGTAAAGTGATGAACACTTAGGACACTTCCTTGTTTCTGTCATACAAACGGATGGAAAAATAACGTTTGGACACGTATGTTTTACATTTTTTCTTCTTGGATCTAATTAAACTGCCATTCACGCGAGTTCAGTTTTCAGCTGTACTTGTTTTTGATAGGTGTTATTTTTATAACTGGCTATTTCTGTGCATTTTTTGGGGTTTTGACTTGAGTTAGATGCCTGTGGTACAAAAGAGGTTGTCAAAATGGTGATGTTAAAAAAGGTGTGTATATATTTATTATCTTTTTTTGTTTGTTTGTTGGGAAATAGAGCTATTTTTGAGGCTTTGGGTTGGTTGTGATTTGTGTTTGGTTGTAAGATGTAAGCTAATGTAAATGTAAATCTAGGGGGACCACGTCTGGATTGAGTCCAGTATTGGGGTCCCTATTGGAGGTTATGTGAAGATCTCAGGCAGTGGACAGTACTGCCTCATTGACGATGAAGGAAAGGTAAAAGTGATGGTTTATACTGTACGAGAAACTGAGGGCTTTTATTTGCCTGAGGCTTACACACACACTTGCCATTTTGAACCGCTGGGTTTTATGTTTGTTTCAAAGTTTTTTCTTAGTGCAATTCACTCGTTTAAATTTAAACGTGTGTCCAAAAATTAGTCTTTTTCCCAGTGTAATTTAGCAAATTTATATCTGGCTTTTTTGTTGATTCTGGCTTGTTGATTTTCCCATGTTGTCACACAAGGAAGCAGTGTGTTTAAGGTTTTCCTTAAATACTATGCCTCCAATTAACTCGAATGTTGTCAATTAGCCAATCAGAAACTTCCAAAACCTTGACACCATTATCTGAGCTTTTTCAGAGGCATAATAATCTTATTTTATGTAAATTTGACTTTTAAGAACAGTTATAACAATTTCTCAAAGAATATCTCTCTCATTATTCTGCTATTAAGCATAACAGAAACAAATTTGTTAATCCTAACTTACCTAAAAGTGAGACATTTTAGTCACATTAACATCTGACTTTTTTTAAATAGTTATGTGCTTTTTTATACAGTGTATGCAAACTTCTGGTTTTAACTGTAAATATGCACCATTTAGACATCTTTAAAGGTGATTTTCTCAGTAATTAATTAATTAATTAATTTTTTAATCCTCAGATTTTAGATTTCACCTCAGCCAAATATCAGCATATCCTAACAAAAACATGCATCAATGGAAAGCTTCTACATTTAGTTTTCCAATGTTGTATAAAACTTAATAAAAAAAAAAGTAGTTTTCGTGGTCCATGCATATATTATTTGAAATGTTTGTTAGTCCATGCAGTCTTGCCATTTTACTATTTCTCGATTTTTCTCTCAGTCGAGCAGAATGGGAAACAGTATATGGCTCAAAGATATTTAGGTGTTTTTGCATTAAAAGAAATTTACGTTATAGCTCATGCAAGTAAAGCATTTACTTCAAATAACTTAAATAATAATGTCCAAAAGTTGATAATTTAAATATAGTTAAATATAGTTAAACTATATATATAAAAATATAGTTTAAAAATATATAATAAGCACAAGTGGTCATAAATTAGATTGTGTTTTGAATAAATAAAAATTTATTGATGACAAGTGGGTAAAGCCTGGTGATTTAAGGTTGGTGGCAAAGTAAAAAGATGACTAAGATAAATTAATTAATTAATAAATAAATAAGATTTAGAATTAATTCATATTTTTAGACTGCACTGTGATACTTAAAATGATATTTCACCCAAAAACATTTATTCACACTCAAGTGGTCATAAACTTTTATGAAGTTCTTTCTTCTGTTGAGCATGAAAGAAGAAATTCTTGGCATAGTAGGAACAAAAAACAAAAAAAATAGTATGAAAGTAAATTTTTAAGTTTTCAAAAATGTTTCAGAATATTTCACTGTCTTCAACAGAAAAAAGGAACTCAAAAAGGTTTGGAGCAAGTGGAGGATGAGTAAATGATAACACATTTTTCATTTTTGTGGTGAACTATCCCTTTAAATTGAGTCTTTCAATATGCCATCAGATTAACCTTGTTCTAAATATGCCTGACACTGAGGTTTTTGTCAACACTAGAAATTATTGTCAACACTGAATTACATTTCTCTTGTGAATTGTGGCTAAAATGTGTGAAAGTCATTATTTTATTGCTCAGAAGAAAATGTTTTTGTGAGTGGGCCATATAAATAACAAGAAATATGACATCATTAATAATCTACCAATAATAATTATTGTAATATGATTTAATAGCTAATTGTTTTTAATAGAGAATATAATGTAACAGTTTTACAGCTCTAAAATTTGCTGCTTAGCATTTTTTTTCTTTCAGTGAAATAACTTTTTGTTGTTGATATTTTCTGTTGTCTGTACAGTAAATTACAGAATTTCTATATATAAATGTTGCCTTAAATATATTCACTTTGAAATTTGACAACTAACTCAGCTTTCACGCTGCATGCCATAATTGCTCAGTAATATTTTATTACATTTTATTATTTATTTTTTTATTATATTTTATTATTATGATTGTCTAATCAGATGAATGTGATATTTTTTGCTGTTTTTTTTCAGGAGCATTCGATCCCGGAGGGGGATCGGGCTGCTCTGAAGCCCATGCACCCCACATCAGTGGAGGGTGTGGATGACATGATCTGCTTGGGAGACCTCAGTGAAGCCGGTTTACTCAGAAACCTGTTCCTGCGCCACAAACAGGGCATTATTTATGTGAGTAAAGTCATTCTTCTCTTAATTTTTTTGACCAAAATAATTCAGTTTAGTATTTTATTGTAATTGTAATTATGAAAAACGTGAATGGGTCACATTCATGCAATAATATTTGTGAAAGATATATATGAAAAATACATATGTATGATCAGCTTGAAATTAAACAAACTAGACTTTCCTCTTCTTCCTATGTTGTAAAAATCTATAAACTTGTTATTTCTTCATTTATTTCTTCCTTTATTATTTCTGCCGGGAAAATCAGAAGGATGTGACATTTATGCATGTTTATGAGAGCCTATTCTGTGATACATCAAATGAATGAATATAATGCTCAAGATATTGCCCAAAAAGCACTAATGTTATATAAACAAAAGCTTTTAAGTTAAACTAGACATGTACGGTGAGAGAGCTTAAATACGCTGCAAATTACGAAAAAAACATTCGAATAGAAAAACATTAGCGATTGGACCCTTTTCTAATTTCCGGGTCTCTCAGTAGTGAAAATATGGGAGAGTACAACAAATATATTTTTTTACAATTTTATTTGCTCATATAATAGAAGAGAAACTCATGGATGATGTTATCAAAACTTTCGGAAAAAAATGTATATTAAAATATTGAGAGACTGATAACTGTAGTCAGAGGAAAGAATAACCTCCGATTTATTGTCCTGTACCATAGACGCTGCATTAGAAACGCCTCGCACAAGCGGTAATTCGTTTTTTGTAATTCGAAGCAAAGATGATCTAATTCATACATACATACATATTAATGTTCATGTGTTTTTTTATTTAAATCTTAAAAACTTTCAAGGATTTAAGATGCTGATGACCATGAAATGCGTCAAAACAGGCTTGTGAAAATAGTCTAGTGAGAAAACATCTTCATCAGTCTGACAATACGTGAACATAAATTCTCACAACACCTGAAAATAATAAAACGTAATGCAAATAACGCAGACCACAACTGAAATGTGTTGGAGGACCCCAGATAGTATTTTATTTTTGCAGAATTATATTAATAAAACAGATTACATTACCTCTAGAAATAATTTTTTTACTTTTTGTTTGTTATATTGTTTCACTGCAAATTATAATTAAATATTTAAAACTTGTATCTAAACCATGTTTATTATTATTATTATTATTATTATTGTTTAAATTCCGAGGCTCAGCTGGTTAAAGCCCTTTTCCAGAATTTTCATTGCAAATCTTAAGCCAATTGATAATTATTTATTTGTTTTTTTGGTTCAAATTTAATGTTTTTTTAGTTCAAATGTTTTTTGCCCAAAAGTTTGGGCACCTCTGATATATAGTGTATAGTAAATTTGAAACGTTAATTGTTACTTTACATTATGATGTTTGTTTGTTGGTAATAAATATTTCAGACTAAATTAGATCTCAGGTTTCCAATGATCTCAGATGTTAGATCCCACAGTCCAAACAAGCTTTTTAATATGTTTCATTTTTTCAATTTGTGTGCTGTTTAGACATATATCGGCTCTGTTCTCGTGGCGATGAATCCCTATGAGATGCTGCCCATCTACACAGCAGACCAGGTGCAGCAGTATCATGGGCGTAAACTGGGAGAACTTCCTCCGCATATCTTCGCCATCGCTGACAGCTGTTACTTCAACATGCGTCGCAACAAACGCAATCAGTGCTGCATCATCAGGTACTTATTTGATTTGTAAAAACAGATCATATATGATCATAAATCACTTTTACATGTTTTTTAAAGACATTGTTTACCCAAAAGTGAAAGTCTATTAGGAATTACTCATCTTCAGGTGGTTCCAAACCTTTAGAATTTTCTTTCTTTTGTTGAACACAACATTTTGAAGAATGTTAGAAGCCTCTAAACATTGACTTCCATGGGAAGTAATAGAGGAATATACTATGGAAGTCAATGGTTACCAGTTTCCAACATACTTCAAAATATCTGCATTTGTGTTCAACATAAAAAAGAAACTCTGGAACAAATGTAGGGTGACTAATTTCATTTTTTTGTGTTTTAAAGAGTTTATATGCATAAAGCAACATTTACATAAAAAAATAACATATTAAAAAACTATTAATTTGTTCTTTCATTCTGAGCAATCATCATCTAACACTTTAAAAAGAAATGTTTTTTGTCATAAGGGATATATTTAAAATTCATATAAATTTGGTCTTTACAAATCTTAGCAACTGCTAAAAATGAATGCATGTGTGTTGTGTTACAGTGGAGAATCTGGAGCAGGAAAGACAGAAAGCACAAAGTTGATTCTTCAGTTTTTGGCTGCAGTGAGCGGACAGCACTCCTGGATCGAGCAGCAGATCATACAGGCCAACCCCATCCTGGAGGGTGAGTGCTGAACTTTCTTATTTGCTGGATCATTTCAGTATTTTTCATAGAAAGCTCTCTCACTTCTGCATGTCTTACAGCCTTCGGAAATGCCAAAACTATTCGCAATGACAACTCCAGCCGCTTTGGGAAATATGTGGAGATCTTCTTTAATAAGGCGGGTGTCATAGAGGGAGCTCACATGGAGCAGTACCTGCTGGAGAAGTCCCGTGTCTGTCATCAGGTGAGCCTGTGTTTTATGTTATGTACGATAGACAAACATTAGGAGCCCTTGACTGGAAGTGCGTTTTTATGAGCTTTATCTGAAATTGCTCATAATAGTTGAATGTTTGAAAAATAATGTAGTCTTGGAATTTGAATAAACAGTTCAAATGGATACATTTATTTATATATTAAAATAAATGTTTGTTTTTTTATTTTAAGGCACTGCAGGAAAGGAACTACCACATATTTTACTGTATGTTAGCTGGGATGCAAAGTGATCATAAGAAGACTCTCTCCCTAGGTGATGCATCAGAGTTCAATTATCTGACCGAGGTTTGTGCTTTTGGATTTTTGTTGTGAGTTGAAATGAAAAACAAGCTCTGGAGTAGTGATAGCACTGCTTTTTATGCGGTAAAGAAATGGCTTGGTCCAGCTGTCAGACAGTAGTACTTTCAATTGACTTTTTACAGAGTGAAATGGCAGTGTACAACACGTCACTTGGAAGAAAAAAATTGAGTATTTAATTCTTATCTTTATAGTCTGAAAGGTCCATTTAGAGAAAAAAAGATGTGTGTACTTCAAAGGTATAAGGATGCATTTATCCTCATAGCTCAGATGCTGCATTCATACTGTCAATAACTCCAAAATGAGTCCAAATATTTTTTAAATACCTCAGATTAAAGGGACAAAATGTAATATACTTATATTATCCCAAATGTTTTGAAGAATGTTCAAATCCAGAGAAATAAGCCATTTTAACTAGTGACATGGACCATGTCCTGTACCACCGCTGTCATGACATCATACACCCTCGGTTTCAGGATTCGTTTTTTTTAGAATACAGGGAAAAACAATAAACTGTAAAAGATATGGACGTAGCATCCGTTACATTACCTATAGGTTTCTAAAGAATGCAAAAGAAGCTACAAGTAGGCGTGGCCAACCGTCAACATTTTGTTCGCGCGTCATCGCATTGACCGGGGAATACCAAACAAGGGCAAAGAGGCGGAGCTACAGACGCTTGCTAGCATTTTGCTTAGACAGGTATTTCTTTGGGAGAAACGCTTAATACTTCATTACCTGCGACTCTTTTGTATCTTGACCACATGTGCTTGGTTGTACACTATATCAATAAAGTGTTTAGACTTTTAAAAAACTGCTGTAATACATTGAATCACTAAAATTTGTTTTTATGATATTTTTTAACAGGAGAAAAACACGAATTACTTTTTAGGCTATTTATGAAATCCAGGCATAAAACTGTATGACAATGTTTCAGATGACTGTTTTAGAGCCTACAGCTAATCAATCGGTCAGATTCTGGAGTCCAATAAAGGTCTAAAAAAAACAGTTGATAAATGATCTTGAATAAAACAAATACATTTATAGTGATGGTATACGTATATAATTTCACTCATCTGGAAAATGGAGGCCACGTGAACGGTTTGTGAGCACAATTAAGTGCACACAGCATAATATATCATCTGATGAATGTAATAATTCCACAAGGCAGTTGATTGTGTAAAGCCACATAAAACAAAACAAAATACGATGTATATGCCAAGTTCAGCGGCTAATCAGCCAGAATCAGCTGAGGTCACGTGAGGACGATCAGCGAGACCTAGCTGTCACTTAAGTTGCCCCACCCTTAATTATGCAGACTTAATATCACCTGATATTAACGAAACGGATGAGTTATAAAAAAAAAAAATTCATCCCCGTCACAGTTGTCATGAAGAGTAATATTAGCTATGTGAACCAAAATCGTTCTTTGTCCCAGACTGTAAACACTTTTTTTCTGCTGTAAAGTTGGCCATTCTAACTGTGAGGTCACAAGAAATTTATTATGGAGCCAGGACTAGCGGAATTTTAATGAATTGCAGTTTCAGTTACTTCCGTATTTGTTTCACGAGGGAGAGCTGGTAGTTGCCGCTTGGGAAAAACTACGATGCTGTAATATGTTGTGTGTTTTATTGGACTGCACAGAGCAGCATTATAGCATTATATTCATAAGAAAAAAAAATGCATATAGTATGATAAAACAGTGTTACTTCTTCCTCAAGTGATCATGACTGGAAAGACTGGCATAATAAAAGCTCTGCTGTTTTCATGCCACATTTCCTCGTCTCTCATCAGTAATTTCTTCAGCACTATGGTTTCACTTTGACTGCTTTCAGCTTTACTCTTCTTCATATTACTATGAAAATACATGCAGTGAAAATACTGTGCCTTTAAGTACCACCAAGTTAAAACCAAATTAAGTTCCCAAAACATATCCAGAACCACTTTTCTTTTTATATGAATTGAATGTTCTCTCTAGCTTGCACAACCTGTGCAATAACGAGAAAAAGTACTAGCAGCTCTTTACATACTGTCATTTAAATTGCCTGCTCAGACAATATATTATTTCAGTCTGCTATTATGGCAATAAAAGACTCTTTGCTAAGTTTTAGCATCAAAAGTTGTTGGAACAAAGATCAAAGTCACATAATTTAAATTGAAAGCGCAAGTAAAACACCTACTGTAGCAATCTGATTATGGATATTTTTATAGTGTTCATTTCTCTGGAGCAGCTTGTACACGTGTTATTACTGCTCTAGAAACTGGTAATTGCTGCTTTTTAGCTAAATTTAGCTAATTTTCCTCCAGGGACATTAAACCCTGATATGGAATATTTGTAGGTCTACTTATTTGTTGTTGTTAACATCACACTGTTGTTCCACATTTGTCTAGTGTGAACAGGCTCTGTGCTATGTGTATCCGGCGAAGTCTGGCTTACTTCCGCTGATTGTACAGTACTGTGCTACAACAGGAACACTGCTGACCCAAACATTACGGATAGTTTTGTTGTGCTTTATGTCATTATAACCCACTTATATATGTTTATGTCAACTACATGATTATGACATCTAAACATTCAAAAGTATCATTTCAAAGCCATGAGGACAGTGCCTCTAGCTACCACTGCTGTGTTATGCAATGTACAGCGAAATTTAACGCAAGTGTGAGCAGAGAGTGAGCAACGCATGTTTTTTCAGCATCTATGTTAACAGATTACAGTTTTCAAAAAAAAAAAAGCACGAGGGGTGAGCGTCGCAGTGCCGCAATAATTTTGGCGCTGGGTCTATTTTTTCCACGCTGCTTACGCTCAATTAAAGTGACAGTGCATTGATAATGACCAAAAACACATTAAATGACAGTAAAAAGTAGCAATTTTACCCAATAAATGCACGTTTTACGTTACAACTAACGTGGTTAAAACGATGGATCTGTGACAGAGAAACTACAGATTTTGGGAACACTCGTCACTATATTGTTCTTTTTCCAAACGATGCATCGTACTATGATAGTTCAGCCACGAGTTACTTTGTTGTTTGGGAAACGCACCCCTGTGCAGCAGCTTGCGATAAGCTGCGCGTTGCAGACGCAGTCGGTGTGAAAGGCAAACGCCTGCACGATGATATGCTGCTCACGTCCTGTTTGCGATTGCAGTGTGAAACAGGCGTTACCTCAGTTTCCCTCAGCCGCAACAAGTTTTGTTTGGAGATATTTGCTACATTTAATGGCATAAAGCACTAACACAATTATCTGTATAACAACTATTAGATGTTTTGGTCAATAGTGTTCCTGTTGTAGCACAGTACTGTATGATCGGCGAAAGTAAGCCAGCGGCCTGAATTTTTTTTAACGGAAATAGTCACAAGCTGCCATGCAAAGAGCCTATTCATATGTATATATCTATTGAGCCTATTGATGTCAATCAAAGATTATAGAATACACAAAACATGTTGTATAGTTTTAAAGAAGAATAGTTTTGGAGAAGTATAGTGGTCAATATTTCGAATGAAGCCCCGCCTTCTAGTACAGGAGTTAATCAGTGATAAAGACTGAGGATTCTCTGGGGGAGGACTTTGGACCAGATGTGGGTTTCTGCAGATTTTGTGTGATTCGAATGTGTAGAAATAAACTTAAGAGACAGTTGTTGTTCAATTTTATTAGTGACTCCTAATATGAAATGTATTTGTAAACTTGGTAAGCAATTTTAGAGAATTTGATGTTACCTCACTCAAACAGAATGCCCGAGCATACTGCCTGAGAGGCATTTCAAAGTTGGCCGCCGAGTGAAATGACTTGGCTTAAAGGGACTTTGTGTGAATATTGAATGTTGTCTTTGTAACCAACAGCCAATTGTGTGCCTTATATTCAAGTTTTTTTGATCACTCCTGCTCTCTAATTCTAACCGACTTGACTTATGATATTCATCTAGGGGGATTGTTTGACTTGTGATGGTCGGGACGATGCTGATGAGTTTGCACGGATTCGTTCCGCTCTGAAGGTCCTCACTTTCACAGACAGGGACTGCTGGGAAATCTTCAAATTACTCGCTGCCATCCTCCACATGGGCAATATTGACTTTCAGAGTCAGTATCTCTAGCTTTCCTGTAACAGTAATATCATTGAAACTGTCTTCCCATAAACTGATGTTATTGGATACAATAACTCGACTTCACCTTTTTCAGGCACTATAATGAATAACATGGACAGCTGTGATGTTCTGTCCTCCAGTCACTTCTCTGTAATTGCCAAGTTGTTGGAGGTATGGATAAAGATGACTTTATACACTTTATCTTCAAATAATTTCAAATAATTAGCATACGATCAGATGTTTGTCTGCAGAATGTATCCCATTTGTTGTCTCCTGTCACTGTGCAGGTGGATGATGCTGCTCTTGATAAGAGTCTGACCCATCGCTCCTTCATGACAAACAGAGAGATGGTCACTAAACCCCTCAGCTCAGAACAGGCCACAGACATCAGAGATGCCTTCGCCAAGGTGCTCTTTTTGGAGATTTTAGAATTAAGCTGGCTTGCATTCAAAAATGTTTTATATTAGGCCTCTTATGTTTACCAAGACTATATTTATCGAAAAACAGTAATATCAAAGTATTAAAATAACTTTCTACTTAAAGAAATAGAGCTAACAGTTTGTGACAGTTCACGCTGTTAACTACTGGGTTATTCATTAACATATGAACTCTTTATTAGTCATGATAACGTATGACTTTATTCTGCATCCCTAATCCTGCCCAAAACCTAATTAACCTAATTAATTAGTAGTTTATTAAGCTAATGTCTTAGTTAAAGGTCCCGTGAAGTGCTTTGAAATTAGTTTTTTTTTTTACTTCAATGTTTGCCGTAATCGCAACTGAAAAATTAAGAGAGGGTGGGAGATAGTGTAGCCCCTCCCCTTTGGAAAAAAACCTTCTCTTTAAAACAAGATTTGATGAGAAACTGATGTATGGTGTGATAAAAATCCTTGATCCATTTAGGCGGAAGTGACAAACTGCAATGCTTATGAAAGTTTTTTATATTTTTAAATGCAAATTGTCACTGTTTTGGAGCAGACTGGCTAATAGATATCCTTAAAACTAACATACTGATATTAACATCTAAAAAAACTTATTTTAATTTCACCAAACTTTTTATGGTTTTTTAATAATGGGAATTGGGACTCCCAAAATATGTTTTAAAATGTAATTCATTCCACTCTGACTTTTACCCCATTCTACAGTGTTACATGATTTGCTGAATTAGAAACTTTTTTCCATATGTAAAATGGTTTAACATTTTTATGGTAAATATATTATAAATTTTAAGGATTATTTGATTGATTAATTCAGTAGAAGAGATGGCAAAAAAAGAACATCAGTATTCATGGGAATTCAAAGTCCTTGTTCCCATTTATTTAATGTTTTTTTCCAAACTGTACATTTAGACAGATATTTTGGCTTCATAGATGCTCTTTGCTCTCACACATGATAATTAATATTTGTTGTACTCATTGACAGGCTCTGTATGGAAGGTTGTTTGTTTGGATGTTCACAAAAATAAACAGCGCCATTCACAAACCCCAGACCGACGAGCCCTCTTACACACGCCAGTCTATTGGTCTGCTTGACATTTTTGGCTTTGAGAATTTCCCTCAAAACAGGTTGGTATCTGGTGACCCAAACAAATTATTCATAAACAATGGTGTAGAATATCTTTTGCATTCAATTTGACATATAATTACAATAAAAAGGCAAGTAATAAATTGAGTTATAAAATTTGAAGGAGTGAATTATTATTTTCATGTAAACATTCTCCAATAGTCTTGCCTTTAGACTTTAAAATAAAATAAAAAAACACAATGGATATTGCATGTAACATTTTATTAATATCATGTTTTAGAATGGGGTTTTCCCTCGTTTTTTGATATTTTTCATGATACGATACTGTGCAGATTCACAACACTTGTCCTTTAAAATGTAAACTTTTGAAACTCTACAAGTTAAGTTGTTTATGTTTTTTAATGGTTGGCTTTGGTTTTTTTATGGTTGGCTTTGAGCCTTTAACTTCCACTCACCAATTCTTTTTTTGTTTTAAATGACAAATTATAGACAAAAAGGCTACCAGACAGTTGCCAGTGCCAGTCCAATGGTTAAGTAACATTTAGATACTCTAACCATACTTTGAGAATAATTTCTCTTTTCCACTTTTGTCATTTAGTTTTGAACAGCTGTGCATCAATTTCGCCAATGAGCATCTGCAGCAGTTTTTTGTGAGGCACGTCTTCAAGCTGGAGCAGGACGAGTACACTAAAGAAGGCATTTCATGGAAACGCATTGCTTTCAATGACAACCAGAAAACCCTGGACCTACTAGCCCTTAAACCTCTCAACATACTGGCTCTGATTGATGAGGAGAGCCATTTTCCTAAGGTGAGCTTCGTACGCTATATGATAGAGTGACTTATTTGCTTTTTATAAGCTATTTATGCCTGCGCTGTCCTGTTTTTAACACAGGGGACAGATGCTACGATGCTAAACAAACTGAGCCAAGAACACAAAGGCAACAAACTTTACATTTCATCCAGGGGCGACCATCGGATACATTTTGGTGTTCAACACTTTGCTGGGTTGGTTTATTATGACTGCGAAGGTACAATTCATCGATTATTTACTGTCCCATGACATATGTACTGCATTCCCAGCAGTTATTTTATAAATGAAACAAGTTCTGTTCTAAATGAGCAATGTTTTGGCAGGTTTTTTGGAGAAGAACAGAGATACTGTGAGCATGGACATCTTGGAGCTGATTCGGAAATCTTCCAACAAGTTGCTTAAGCAGATCTTTGAGAAAGAGATCAATGTAAACTCGGTGAAGAATTCGAACAAAATGAACAAAGCTGTCATGACGCCAAAGAATTCATTACGAGTAAGAGATATTTATAAAAATGTTGACTTTAACAATGATCACGTATTCATGCACACAAATATCATAATAACCTACATTAAGTTAACCTGTTGTCTTGTTTTACATGCAAACCAGTAACCCTGCAATGCAAGCCCACCTAAAAAATTCTATTATAATTTTTTAGTAAATACTATAGTGTTTTTATATCATACTGTAGATATTATTTGTAGTATTATTTACATAGTTGTAGAAAACATGATCCATGTATGTTACTATGGTTGTATTAGCAACTATAGAATTACCACAACAGATTAATTAAGTACATTACAGTATGGTTTAAAAAACACTATTTTTATTTACTATTATTTACTATACATTACTGAAGATTCTTTTCATTTTCGTTGTTTATAAGACTTTATTAATGAAAAAGAAAATCCTGGTAGTGACATAAAAAAATCAGAATTTGCATATCTAATTTCATTACCCATGAAAATAGTGGATCATGGGGGGCCAAGTCAGAGCACTCACTCTGATCTCCCGGGCTCTGCGTTGCAAACCAAAGCATACTGATATAATTGGCTTAAGATTGGCAATGAAAATCCTGGAAATTGCAACCAGCAGAACCTGGGAATGAAAAAATAAAAAAAGACCTTCATAATAGTCCCAAACTAGGTAACAATGCTGGGTAATATCATTGCACCTGCTGCAGCCAAAGTTCACAAATTCATAGTTCCTAGCAATATTAACCTAGAAAATAACAACTTTTCATTTTCTGTCAGTCTTAGTACAAGATGTATCTATAAAGTCAAACTTTAAACAGGAAAATTATCAAAACTCTTTTTTTTGTGTGTGTGTTTTATAAGTGAGATGCTAATGGTCTAATCTGATTTAATGATTTATGCTAAGCTAAGCCAGAATTCTCCCACCAGACCCGGAGATTGGCTAAATGAATTAAAAAATGGTCGAATTCAAATGTTTAACTTGAGGAGAGTTGTTAAATGAGCCTTTTCTAAAAAAAAAAAGGGGGGAATGTTCATTTGAGGCATTTATGACCTTACTCCGTAAAGGAAAACCTTTTGACACCTTTACATGACCACATGCATTCTCGACTTCAGCATAATCAGATTGAGAGCATTCTGATCAATGCACTCAATGAAAATAGCTTTGAGATAAATTCTCTGTTTTGTCTTACACAGCAAGTTAACGAATCAAGGAGACAGATTTCCACTCTGAGCGGCCAGTTTCGCCAGTCTCTGGACTCTCTGATGAAGGCTCTTTCTCTCTGCCAACCCTTCTTCATACGCTGCTTCAAGCCAAACGATAAAAAGTTGCCCATGGTATCAATTCACTTCAACATCACTTACATCTTGAGCAGCTGTGAGGACGCTTTTAAGATGACGTTTTCTCTTTATTTTCCTCATCAGGTTTTTAACAGAGAGCTCTGCATGCAGCAACTTCGCTACTCTGGAATGCTGGAGACCATTCGAATACGCAAGTTGGGATATCCCATCCGTCACACCTTCAAGGACTTCCTGCATCGCTACCGAGCACTCTTGAAGTCCATTGACTGCGACCCCAACACTGTATGAGATAATAGGATTATATTATTAATATGTGAATGCCCAGGATTGTAGTTGATGATAGTTGCTTAATGCAGTAGAATTAAGTCTCTCACATTGTAAGAAATTTAATGACAAAAAGTCAAGACAACACATATTTTTATGTTGCTTATTTTAATAAGCTACTCCGGTTTCAACCTATTTTTTTTAAGTTATACAAAGTTTAAAATGTGTGCATTTACATTATAGTTTACTAAAAATTTAAAGTTTTGATATGTGAAAATGAGTAAAAGGCTGTATTTCGCATACCTGGCCAGTAGATGGTAATGTAGTTTTATAAAGAAACAAAAAGCCCCTGTGCATATACAGTCCTGTAGTCCCCGACTGTTGATTTGGTTGATAATGTTTGAATTAAAACATTAGAAAAAAAATTAATATTTGCACTTTTTAGTTTTTTTGTTTTGTTTTCAGGTCTCAAAATTGCCAGTAAAAATGAACATATAAGTCAACATTTACCTGTGTAAAAGTCTGCAAATTATGTTTAATCACTATCCACAAATGCTTTTACATTAACCAATTACTGCATTTTTATTTAAATGTAGGTTTATGGTGAGTACTGTGTTTGGTTGCTAGTAACCAAACATTTTAGTTGATGCTTCTGCCTTTAATTACAGGTAAAGTGAGTAATTCCTCTGCTACTAGAGCTGACATAGGTAAAAATAATAAGAAATAAAATATAAACAAATATAACCATTTTAACCTAAACACTCTTCCATCTGTATTTGCTCTAAAATTCAGACAGTCCCGCTCCCAAGTTATGCTATTGGTTGAGCCAGAGTTGATGTGTGTCAGTATCATGCTCAAACTAAGTGGTGTTTACACTTTTTTTTTTCGAAGGAATTAACCTTCAAATGACATGTGAGTGTACCAGTGTGGCTTGAGTTGATAAATAAAACATCTGTTATTTTTTATCTGTTATTTATTAACAGGAGCCTGCTGCCAAATGCTGCGCTGCCATCTGCAGAACTTTAATCAAAGATGAAGAAGATTGGAAGATTGGCAAAACCAAAGTTTTTCTCAGGGTACCTCCTGCATAATATTTATCAAGTGTATCATAACATTTTACACCAGTGTCCGCGTGCACTCTTGTAATATTGAATCTTTTTAAAAATCATTTATTTTGGAGTGATATTAAACAGTATTGTTTATGAGTTTGAGGTCATTTTGATTTTTTAATTATATTATTTAATTAGAAATAATACATTCAATGGATAAAAGGTGACATTAAATAGTACATTTATACTATTTTAGAAAAATATACTTATTGTAAGTGTTTAGAACTGTTTGTCAAAGTGTTCTGTAAACATATTAAGCACCACCTCTTCAGTTTTCTAAATTTAGTAATAATTTTTTAGATGCATTTCAAATAAAAGAAATATTCTAAACGTGACCCTGGACACCAAAACCAGTCATAAGTGTATATTTTTAATTGAGATTCTAAAAAAGCTGAATAAAAAAAGCTTTCTATTGATGTATGGTTGGTTAAAAAAAATGGCAAAACATTGAATCAATATAGAATAAATATTAAAAAAAAAAAAAAAAAAAAAAATATATATATATATATATATATATATTTATATATATATGTGTGATTGTGTATGTGTGTGTGTGTATAAATATTGACTTTACATTTGCCTAAATGATGAGTTTAGCAATGTAAAATTGAGTTTTGATATATATATAGAATAGTAGATATCTTCATGGGACTTGATCTTTACTTATTATTTCAATGATTTTTGGCATTTAAGAAAATGTGATCATTTTGACTATGTAATTTTGCCTATTGCTTTGAATATGCCCATCCAACTTATGACTGGCTTTGTGATTTAGAGTCACATATATTTAATTCATTTTTAATCATAAGTAATTAAGCAAAAAAAAAAAAATCATTTACAAATGTTTAAAAATCACATTTTCTTCATTCATGAATTATGTTTTTTTTTTTTTTCTCTGTCACAGGGTCATCATGACACTTACCTAGAACTGGAGCGAGCGCAGGAGCTTTACAGGAAGGCTCTCATCATCCAAAGAGTGATGCTCGCTCATAAAGACAGGTTTGTTCCTCGTTGTCTCTGCTCTGTGTCCAAGTGTAACATAGCTGTAGAGACTCAAGCCGTTTTTCATCCATCTACAGAAAAAACTTTATAAACAAAAGGAAGGCAGCTCTGGTTTTGCAGAAGAACTGGCGTGGCTACAAAGAAAAGAGGGACTTTTGCACAGTAAGCTTTGCAGGAACATTTTATGTCTGCAGTCAAATCAGATAAAGCATACCTCACACTGTTTCTGTTTTCCCTCTTAGGTTAAGCAGGGATTTGCTCGGCTGCAGGCGAAAGTACGCAGTCGGAAGCTCCATGAAGAGTACATGCGCAGACGGGCTGCCGCCATCGTTCTGCAAACACAGACCCGTGGCTTACTCGCCAGGAAAGAGCTGAAATCTAAAAAAGAGGCCGTGATTCTGCTGCAGGCACAGACCAGGGGACTGCTGGCCAGGAAAAGTCTCAAGAGAATGAAATCAGAGGTGAATTTAGAGTGGATCAGAACAACGTCTTTGTTGTTTTATATTTGATTCTAAAGTATGGAGGAATTATTTTGAAAGTCATTTCTCTTGCTCATCAAGCCTGCATTTATTTAAAGGCATAGTTCTCCCAAAAATGAAAATTCACATACTATTTACTCGCGTGTTTACAAACCTTTATGAGTTTCTCTGTTCTGTTGAACAGGAAGAGGATGCATTTTTCAAAATATATATTTTATTGTAGTTTTTACAGACATAGAAAAGCAAGGAACAGACAGACAAACCCATCATGAAACAAAAATCTTTGCAAAATGTTAAATAAAGCATAAAACAAGGAAAAATGGTGACATACAAGAGATACAGTATATGACCTAGAAAAAGACACAGTGATGTCACCTCACAGCAAGAAGGTCGCTGGTTCGACCCTCGGCTGGGTCAGTTGGCGTTTCTGTGTGGAGTTTGCATGTTCTCCCGTGTTCGTGTGGGTTTCCTTCGGATGCTCCGGTTTCCCCCACAGCCCAAACACATATGGTACAGGTGAATTAGGTAACCTAAATTGCCCATAGTGTATGTGTGTGAAAGAGAGAAGGGCATCCACTGCTTAAAAATGTGCTGGATAAGTTGGCGGTTCATTCCGCTGTGGCGACCCCAGACTAATAAAAGGACTAAGCCAAAAAGAAAATGAATGAATACTAGTCTTTATGGTGTATTAGAAAAAAAAATGAAATATTTTTAACCAACAAATCAGAATTTGAACACAGGACCAAAAAAGATGTGCTAAGGTCCCCTTAGCAGCTTTACACTTGTCGTATAAGGGGAAAACTGAGGGATAGAATTTACTAAGCTTCGTTTTAGAATAGGGAAGTCTGTGTAATATTTTGTTCTGAGTTAGATTGTGTCTAGAATTTATAGAACATAAATAAACAAATAAAAAGGAAGATACTTTGAAGAAAGCTAAAAACCTGTAACCCTTTACTTTCATGGTAGGAAAATGAATTGCCATAGAAGTCAATGGTCACAGGTTGCCAACATTCTTCAAAATATCTACTTTTCTGTTAAACAGAAGAAAGTCAAACTGGTTTGGAACAAGTAAAGGATGAAAGAATGTTCATTTCAATCTCTTTAAACAGAAATGCAGTGAAAGCTGTGTTATTATGCAATTATTATGCTATATTCTTGTAATATCAGCTCTGTATATTGATCCTTCAAAGAAAAAGAAGTATTTGCTAATCTATTTCTTTAGGATATTATTCTAAAGTCTAAAAAGAAAATGAATACATTTATTACAAGGGACACATTAAATTCATAAATTTTACTGAAAATTTTTATTGATGATTACACATGTAATAAATAATTACACATTTATTATTTTTAAATAAAAAGTCCTGAAAATAAAATCTATCGTGGTTTTCCACAAAATGAAGCGTTTATGACTGATACTCTTGTCCTGTCTCAGGAGTTTTTGACAGCACAAGAAAAACAAGCTCAGGAGCTGGCAGCTTTGGAGCTTCAGCAACGGTTGGAGGAGCTGCTCAGAAAAAACGAAGAAACTGCCAAATCCCAGAATAATGAAGATGAGGAAATGGTGGAGAATATTTTCAACTTCCTCCCGACTGCAATCGCAGGACAAGAGGGCCCGGCTCCTGAGGGTTTTGAGGTGAGAGTAACTCCTGACAGCAGAATAAGGAAGCAAGACATTAATTTAACGGGAACTAACATTTCCTTATCGGAATCATTTCGCAAAGTCCAATAAGACACGTAAACTCTGTTAGCATATGTACACTGTAAAAAAAAAAAGTTGAGTAAACTTAAAATAATTAGGCAACCTATCACACATAGCTTTTTGAGTTAACTCAACAAACAGGGTTTGAAGACCAGTGAACTCAAAATATTTTGTTGAATTCTTTAGTTCTCTGAACAAAAAGTATCATGTTCACCCAACAAGATATTTTTGTTTGCTGAACAAAAAATATCATGTTAACCCAACAAGACATTTTTGTTTGCTGAACAAAAAATATCATGTTCAACCAACAGGATATTTTTGTTTGCTGAACAAAAAATATCATGTTCAACCAACAGGATATTTTTGTTTGCTGAACAAAAAATATCATGTTCAACCAACAGGATATTTTTGTTTGCTGAACAAAAAATATCATGTTCAACCAACAGGATATTTTTGTTTGCTGAACAAAAAATGTCATGTTCACCCAACAAGATATTTTTGTTTGCTGAACAAATATTATCATGTTTACTCAACAAGATCTTTTGTTTGCTGAACAAAAATTTTCACGTTTATTCAACAAGATCTTTTGTTTACTGAACAAAAATGATTATGTTTACCCAACAAGATTTTTTTAGTTTACTGAACAAAATAAAACAAACTGATTCATTATGCATTTACTATTAATTTTTAGGATTCAAATTAAATACACAAGAATAGTCAATTCACTTTTTTTTATTTTTAACTGTGTTCAAATCACAATCCAAAACATTTGCATACAAAATCAGCATTTGACATTAGCCGTGTTCAGCATTGGGCTAGTTTGTACACAACTAGTACTGAATGTTTCCAGATTTGAAAAGATTGTACACTGCCTCAACATAAAATAACTGGCAACCTTACTAAAACCAAGCTATTAGTGTGTCTAAACACTCAAACCAGGTGAATATACAATCATCTAATCAGAGTAAACCCTAAAAGCCACTCCATTCATACAGTCTTTAAAGTGTACTGCACTTTTGTCAACAAAGTACATAAAGTCCAAAAACAGACCTCAAAACATTGAAACAGTGGCACATTAGGAAGTGGTCACGGGTCAGTTGCCGTTACTGTGTGGAGTTTGAATGTCCTCCCTGCGTTCACGTGGGTTTCCTTTGGGTTCTCCGGTTTCCCCCACAGTCCAAAGACGTGTGGCACAGGTGAATTGGGTAGGCTAAAATTGTCCGTAGTGTATGTGTGAATGAGTGTGTATGGATGTTTTCCAGAGATGGGTTGCAGCCGGAAGGGCATACGCTGCGTAAAACAAGTTCATTGCGCTGTGGCAACCCCAGATTAATAAAGGGACTAAGCCGAAAAGAAAATGAATGAATGAATGAACTGAACTCTCGCAGATCATGTGCCACCAACCTCCATAAAACATGCTGAATCACTTAAAAAGTATATTTGAGTTCTTTTGGGTGTTCCATATTCAGTCTATACAAGAGGCTGAACAAGTAAGCGAAGGCTGCAGGCAGATGTGTGATATCCTAAAGTACTATGGCCTCCTCCAAGATTTTAGCGAGGTTCATCACATATTGCAGGGATGCAGAAGTGCCATTATCATCTTCCACCACAGTGAAGATTCCAATCCTTTAATCTCTGGTGCTGTGGTCTTCAGGGTCCGTGTCCTTATAGGAGATTAAATAATGGGAAAATTAATTGATGTGTAATATTAATTACTACTTATTAATGTTATTACTATTATGCAAAGAAAATAAAAACATGTAATACTTTCGTACATACAAACAGTAACACTTTGAATAGTCTATAATATATAATAATTGAACAATATATTGACAACTTTTTAATATTTAGCAATTTTTTAAACTTTTATTTTACATAAAATTGCAAAGATTTACTTTTATTTGATACAGTTTCAATTGTGAAAGTTGTTTATTGTCCTGTTTAGAATATAACTGAGCCTTTAATTGTCATTCATAAGGGATTTATAAAGCATAAATAGTCCTCACTTTAGATTAGGTCACAACTGGATGAAGTTAAGCTCATAAAGCATATACTAACATACAAAGTAACTATTATTACATACCTTAATATTAGGATATTTAAATGTTAATTTGAATAGTTTATTAATCGTGTACTTAAGCATTCTGAATGATCTTAAAAACACCAACTATTCTTAAATAACTGGTTTGTAAATAATGCAATACTTAAATTAGTAATACAAATGAATCATTAAAGTTAAAAAAAATACAATCATTGAGCACTTCATGTAGAGTTATGCTTAACAGAAAATAAATTAACTATTCGCTAATACTAAATAAATTATTTATAGCGTGCAGCTATTAAAAGTGTTACCAAGCAGATTAATAAATGTAGAATAGGGTATGAAAATGGGTAACTTACCAGACATATCTTGAGAAAGCAAGCAGAATTTTTACGAAGAAAAATTGGCAATCCCTCAAGAGCTGCTCTTTCTCGATCGGTGACAATATCAGTGACCTAAAGGAAAGTCATTTACAAAGGGTGTTTTACAATCTTATTGTTTTGTAAGTAAAAATGTACTTAGTACATTTAAATGAGCATAGTATTTTATTCATGCTGTTGAAAAAACACATGGCTTTATTTTAAAAAAAGAATTTTGTGGTTTCCATACAATGGAATTTGATAATGGTTGTGTTGGCAAATTTAGAAAAATGTTTAGTTTCATGTGACAATTACTTTGAGTTAAAAACTACAGCTATTATTTTCTATTTTCCTCTTTGAATGTATTCATTTGAAATGGTCACTCAAAACAAGTGAAACATCTGTTATTTATCTTACTTCCATCTCACAATCAAAACACAACTTGACACAATTAAAATTAATGCAAAAGGGCTGGACAATTAAATTGTTGCAATTACGTTTTATTAGACTGTATTACCTGAGCATGAAATTCTTGACAGGACAAAATATGTTGCACATGTTAAAAACATCAGACGGGTGTATAAGAAAAAAAAAATCTTAATGAGTACCTGCTCATCCATCTTGTTTAAAGTTGTATCCATCTCTGGACCCATTGAATCCCTTCTTTTCTGTAGAGTTTCAGGAGAGGTGCTGTATATTTATCAAGTCACTCGATTAACTGTCTCAGGAGATCTACATTACAGATCTGAGAAAACTCTGTGCAGATCTACAATATACAAAAAAAAAACATACATATTAATTTTTACACATAATATATATATATATATATATATATATATATATATATATATATATATATATATATATATATGTAAATGTAAATATTTAAATGTTCAAATGCTGAATACAGATGTATTTTGAATTACCCATAATAATAATGTTGTTTGTTATTTTTAGCATTATCATTACTACCTTGAATGAAACCAAAGCAATTGCAATATAGTGACTTACCTCTTCCTTAAAGTCCAGGTTATCTCTCTCTAATTTCTTCCTGGCTAAATCTCAACAACTTCTTTTGGGCAAAGAGAAAAGGTTTCTTGCATCTGCTGGTGAATGACCGTCAAATTTCACTGATGATAACAAGTCTCACTTCCTCAAGGAAATCTTGCATTGAATTATGTCATTGTCAATATTTCAGTCCTTTTGAGCAAAAAGAAAGAAAAATATATATTTAGCCCTTTATATTTTTTATGTAAATAAAAGCTAGCTGACTGTTAAAGCAAGTTGGTCTGAATATGATAGACATTTAGTCGAGCTAACAAATCAAGCAATGAATTACATGAAAATCACACGATTTTCACACAAATTACACAGTTAAACACGTCACCGTTTGTTCCACTGGCTCTTGTTCGAATGGAAAAAAGGTTATGATGTGCGCAATGCTGACAGCAATCTAGATAAACAGGACATAATGTTATATTTGACTTGGATACCTGATCTGGTATGTTATATGATACTCATTGTATTAATCGTGAGTTATTAAAGCAAATGACTCGATTGAAATCGCTATTTGTTTCAAATACATTCACTCTAAACTTTTATTGATGTAAATAGCCAAAACCAAGTGCACGAAACAAGTAACTCACGGCTAAATTATAACAAATAGTTCCGTATTAGGATACACGCGCACATCAAAGCCAACATATCAAATAATATAACGTTAGATGACAACAAAAAAAGACATACATACCTATGATTTAGCAGAAACGTCGTTGGCCTGCTCTTAACTAGGGATGGCTGACGTGAAACTGATGTTTTGACACAGTGTCGAGATCCCGAAGCGCAAGTGTTTCGAATCACTGCACCGAAGCATGATCCGAAGCACCCAAGTCACGTGACTAAAGTGTTTCGAAACACCTAGTCACGTGACTAAAGCGATTCAAAGCATCGATCAGCTTAGAAACGTTTCGAGACCTGGTGAGTCCTAATTTGACTGCCAAGGTCTCCAAATGATCTCTGTCTCAAATGGCTTAGAGCACTGTGGATTTGCTTATTGATTCTATGCTTAGCATGATGTTTTGGGTTCGAATCCCGACTTCGAAATCATGGTTTTATGTATTTTAATCATGTTTCTGTTTTGTGTAGCCTAAATAGGATACAGCTACAGTTACGCCATCAATTTAGCATCATTTTTGTAACACTGTAAAACAATAATAAATATTTTTACAGTATGGTTGGGTTTAGGGTTTGGGTAGACATTAATAAAATACAATAAATGGGAAATTTAATGAATAATATAAATAATTCTTGATAACTTCAGGCCACCGTTTTTGATCTAGCAACAACCCTGTTTTAAGACAAAAACAAGACATATTTATTCACAAATTGTTTATTCGGATATCAGACCAATGTTGAAACAAAACGATACAAGAGCAAAGCATTACCAATTGGTATTAAAGCATTTTAAAACAACTGCTACTGACTGGCTTCGAAACCTATTACTCCTGCATGGATGTCTGACACCTTAACCACTGTACTATGTTACTTGAAGGATTCCTCTTTCATTGTTCAATCGTTCTTTGCTGGAGCTGTTTCAGTGCAATATATATAAAAAATGACCACTAAATGTCACTGTAGAGTGAGGTTTCGAAACGTTTCGAAGCTTCGACACATTTGCTTCGACTGTTTCAGTGTTTCACGAAGCCTCGCTTTGCCCACCACTACTCTTAACCGCTCTATCACGGTCTCTCACATCATTAATACACTGGTAAAATAGATCGGGCAGTCAGATGGGTAGCACATCGCACAAAAACATGTATACAATTATATACAATCGATTATGAAAACGATTGACACGTAGCTCCGCAGAAAGAAAGATGGTTCGTTTTGTCGCGCGCACGTGACAGGTACCCCCTGCAGTGAGCTATGGAAGTAAATTGCGCATGCGCCAAAAGCTTTTAAGGCGCATGCGCCAACAAGAAGGGCACGCATCAACGCAAAACTAAGAATTTTGTATTAGTTCAACGAAATATTTTAAGTTTTTCACATTGAAGCACCATATTTGTTGAACAAACTAACTATTATTTGTCAGCATTTCAAATGAAAATATTTAAATTCAGTTAACTTATTAATCTTTGTTCAGAGGACTTTTTGAAAGTTGGCGTTTTTACAGTGTAAGCTTTATTGCCGAAACACAAAGAATGAATTCACAACAGTATTAGTATTGCTGATACTATGAAGTGTATGCTGTTTACACTGATAATACAATGCCTGGCTGAAAAAAGTCGTTGTTTTGGATTTAAGTGGGCTAATATTTACAGTCTATTGGATCTTTACAGAAGTGACTAACATGTTTCTGCCTTGGTTTATGTTTGGCAATTCATGATTTGTTTTTTTTTGCTAAGCAACTGTTATTCGATGGCCATTTTCCAGGAGGACAATCCCAAGATTCATACAGTAGATGTCTACTGTAGTACTGTGGTTTGGCACAGGCCCTTGATAATGTCTATTGGGCCCCCTTAAGTGTACGGGCACTTACAATCGTCCTAACTTTACCCCACTAGCGGCGCCCATGCCTTGAAATGTGCTGGAATGGACTTTACAAAGTGAAATATAACACTTGATGGGACTGAAATGGTCATTGCAATTGGTTTTCAATACAATGTCATGATAAATCCACATAATAATTCAAGGATAAAAAATATTGTAAAATAGTCACTATCTGACCCTGACCCTGGCTATATGCAGTAAACTCTAGTGTGCAACTGTAATCATGTGAAGCTCCAAGAACACGTTTGTGCACGAAAAAACATGACTGTAAACATGACTGTTACATCTGTTATATATTATACCTCCTGCGTCATGTGAGGGTGCACATTTACCATGGGCAATTATTATGCTTGGATTACAGGCAGTGTGTTGTGCAATATGCATAGTATGTTGTATTGCCAATAGTAAATGCACACCATGACCTGACACGGAAAAGAAGACATTGGCAAACAAAGTTCTTTTTACATTTTTTTTTTTTTTTTTTGCTCACAAAAGTGTTTTTGCAGTTTTTCATGTGTTGGGATTGTTGCTATCTATGGAGGATCATAGAGCTCTTGGATTTAAAGGTGCAGTATGTAAGTTTGACACCCAGTGGTTGAACTAGGTATTGCATTCCAGGATCAAAACAAACACAAGCGCAGGTTGCCAACAGCCCAATTGCTTATCACTACAAATCTCGTCACATAACGTGTTGTTAGAACACGGGGTTACAATGTAACCTGCTCACCTAATGTTTACGATTGTAATATTGATATTATTTGCTAATTAATAACCTCATGTAGATGGCTGAATCCGCGTCTCATTTCGTAGTGTGCTACTGTCCACCGGAGGTCGCATTTCGGTCATGGACGCATTGAGAGCCTTTCTGAATGAATAAATGAAATGCACTGTTTTCCACCAAGGCAACCCGGGATCCTGAAATATAATTGGCTAAAGTGGGTAAAGTCTAAATCAGACCACGGCTGGCTGGAGCTACGAAATGCACACCAAAATAGGAGCATTTTTATGACACTTTATAACAATAATGCATTTTTTTGCAGTACTGTGACGGTTAGGTTTAGGGTTGGGGTGGGGGTAGGCGTTAAAAAATCGAATAAATTGGAAAATTCATAAATAATAAAAAATAATTCTCGTAAACTTTCGGCCACAACCGTTCTGATCTAGCAAAAACTGCTAAAGTGGCAGTGGGCAGGTTAAAAGAACCAAAACAAGGACAATGTTCCTGGCACGTAACGCACATTTTCAAAGCAGAATTTCTGACTTCAGCAAGAATGTTCACTTGGCATGTTTCTCAAATATCTGCAAACATATTATGGTATTTTTATGCTTTAGAAGAGTCAAAAACTTACATACAGCACCTTTAAAATGTCCATTTAAAAAATCCTTATTTGTGTTCAGAAGATGAACGATGATCTTAGAATTGTAATGACATGAGGACGAGTAATTAGCAACAGAATTTTCATTCTTTCCTCATTTAATTATTAAACTAAACAATAATAGTCTCTGAGGTATTTGCTTCATGTGCATATTGTATGTTCTCCTAGGAATTTGAAGCAGAACCGGCAAAATTAGAAGAGGTTGAATTAATTGAGAGCCCTGTGGTGGAGACCAAGGTGATGTCAATACCAGAAAGCAGTGAAGACCATCAAGTGAAAGAAGAAGAGGAGGAGGAAGAGGACGATGAGTTCTCTTTCTCGAAATTTGCATCTCTACACTTTCAAGGAGCTTCTACCCACTCGTATATCCAGCAGAGATTACGGCAACCCTTGCTTTACCATGAGGACGAAGGCGATACCTTGGTGAGTGCCGTTAGCATTAACAGTATGTTCTTCTGTTTTGTGTTGTCTTTTCTTATTTTCCCTCTTCCTCCAGGCCTGTTTGACAGTATGGTGGATTATATTGAGATTTATGGGAGATCTTCCAGAGCCGAAGCAAGAACGTGTTTCTGCTATGGCCGACCCCATTCAGAGGAACCTCGGGCAGAGACAAGCACGGCGACTCAGTAATCTTGTTGGATTAGATCAGGTAACAACAGAGACACCCTAAAACATTTCCTCTGGACTTGTCAGAAGATTACCCTTTACTATGGTTTGGGAGTCTTTCTTTCACCAAGAAGCAATTCTTTTATCAAAAACATTCTGTAGACAGTCCATTTATTTATGTACACAGTCAACACAAGAACAGCAAATTGCATTTAACAGAAATGCAGAAGTAATTATTAAGAAATAACAGAATTATTTTATATTTTTCCCTATGTTAAATAGCACTTGGGAAATATTTTTAAAAGTATTAATTTTCACAGGAGGGCTAATAACTCCGACTTTAACTGTAGAGTTTTAAAGTAAATTGTTTTGTTTTTTTTCTGTAACTAAAATGTGACTTTTAAAATGTGTTTGGTTTGGCTTATGTAATTGCAGAAATTTTTGAGAAAGAAAATGAAGCAGCAGAAAGGGGGAGGGAAACGAAAACACTCCGCCATTCCTGAAGAAGAGGTGAAATGTGTTTATTTACTACTCTGAGTACAACACTGAACAACATTACTCACAGCTACTGTAAGTGTTGAGGGTAGTGTATTGCAGTGTGAGTTACAGTACATAATCAGAGTGATTGGCAGATTGGCACATATCTCACCACAATATGAGACCTTTCTATGTGGAGTTTTCATCTTCTCCCTGTGCAAGTTACTCCAGTTTCCTCTCACAACCCAAAGACATGCAGCTTAGATAACCTGGCTCCAAACTGCCCCTCCTCCGGCTTGTGTATTGATTAACCAGTGATTGCTATTAATATACCCATAAATGCAGAAAGGTGTTAAGAAGAAAACAAATCAATAAAAGTTACATAATCGGATTACTTTTGTTTTAGGTAACTAAAGTTGCACATTGTTTTTTAATTTACAAAATTCTCTGAGTCTGAGTTATTTTTATCTGAGGGAGTTTATTTGAGCTCAGCTTTACAGACTTAAATTTAAATTTCCTGTGGAAATTATTCATTTTACATTTGAATTTTGATGTTAAAGCACCTTACATTTATCCAAAATATAAGTTTTAAAAAATATTATTTAAGACAACTTAGATGAAAATGAACCAGTTGAAAAGATTTAGGCAAAAATTATGTAATGCATTACTTTTCTTAAAAAGTAGCTAAAGAACCCCTTAAGCCTCTCTTTTTAAAGAAGTAACACAAGATGGTAATGCATTATTTTTAAAAGTAACTTTCCCCAAACTGATCATAGCAGGCTACTATTAACCATGCTGATGAAATTTGCAGCCAGAAGAAGAACCAAAGTCTCAAATGGAGGCTGTTCAGGAGGAGCAGGTTGTGCTGTTTGGAGAGGGACCAACTTTTGATCGTCCAATGACACCCTTGGAGAAACTGCACATTATTGTGGGATATGCCATTGTCCGACCAGATATAAGGTTAATATGTCCTTTATGTTCTTCAAATTATGATTCCATAGCAGAATACATGATCTTTATGACCTTATGTATGTTTTTCAGAGATGAAATTTATTGTCAGATCTGTAAGCAGCTGACAGGCAATAAAAACCGCAAAAGTGTAAACAGAGGCTGGATCCTTCTGTCCATCTGTCTTGGTATCTTTTCCCCTACAGAACGCCTCACTAAGGTATGAATTACTGGTTTAAATTTAGTTCTTTTATTTATGAGCTAATTTATGCACTCGTTTGTAATAAACCTGACAAAGTGATCTGGAGCTTGGCATAAGGCATAACATGTTGTCTGCTGAATGTTTTATTGACTCGTCTATGTAGAAAATGATACAAACACAGTTTATCGCTCAGGTTAATTGTAATATAATGTGTTATTAATTGTAATATAACAAATATTAGGCTGTGTTATGTATGTAATGTTATTATGTATTGTTATGTTGTGTTGTTGTATGATGTTTAAAGCAATGTTTTGTTTAGAGTTATATGAAACGTCATTGCAGTGTTATGTCCTGTTATTTTGGTCATTACATTAGTAGTACGTTTCCCCTTTTATCCAAGAGATGCAGTTTCACATATCTAATACACTGTTACACAGGCAGTTTCTTTCCCAACTGTTTATAAAACAGTTATTAAATTCTTTTTTAAAAATTGTTTTTTAAACAATTTAAGCCTTTGAATTTCACTGAATACTGAAAACTAGTTAAGCTTGATACTAATATCTTAATCTCATGTATACTGTCATCACGGCAAAGAAAAAATCTGTCAGTTATTCAAAATAAGTTATTAAAACTAATATGTTTAGAAATGTGTTGAAAAAATCTCTCCGTTAAACAGAAATTGGGGAAAAATATACTGGGTGCTAGTAATTCTGACTTCAACTGTAACAAACATTTTGTGAAAGTGGATTTGTGTTCTTTTTTACATATGCAAAAGAAAAATGAATACCGAAATTTTTCAAAAAACTTACAATTTAAGCTATATGCTTTCTTTATGTGACATGCACAATCTAATAGACGGCTTTCTGTGCTTGTTCTTTATGTCTGTGTGCTCAGAAATTTACATTAGGAGTTTAAACCGACATGGCTTTAAAGCTCATGCAGATGCTTTGTTTTTTGTTACTGGAATATCTGAGGAACGAGCTGTAAAAGCATCGCTCTCTTCTGGAAAAGGGGAGCTCATTTGCATTTAAAGAATTGCATAATAAAATATGAAATTAAGCTTTAAAGACACTTTCAGGGGGCACCGAAGTCTTAAATTTTAAATAAGAGTATATAATTCCTTTAACCTGATCTTTTCTGTTGATAAGGCCAGTAGGGGGTGCTGAACCTGCAGTCTCTGTGGGTCCTAACGCCTTAATCATAAGATGTTAATATGAGGTTAGATTTAGGTCATGCTGTCTGGAGACCAAAATTCCATGCCTAGCCAACGTCTAAGGACAACATTATTTTGATGTTCAATAACAACGTCAAATGGCGGTGATATTTAGTTGATTCTAGGTTGTGTTGAAAAGTGACCAAACTTCAATGTCTAGCCATCATTTTAAACCAGTGTCACATTGATGTCAAATACTGACATTTATTCATCGGGTATGACAACCAAAATCCAACATCTGATAGACATGATGTGGTCAAGTCCACACAACGTCAAGCTGTAACATCATTAGACATTGATATTTAGTTGACTTTAGGTTGAACGTTGAACATTGATGTCAACCCGATTTTAATTTCCAAACAAAATGCAACGTCCTCTGACGCTGGGGTACAACGTTAATGTGATGTCATGTTGATGTCCTGTGCATGCTGGGTCTAGATGACACTTTTTAGGTCTATGGTTTTAATAACTTTTAGATAATTTCTGACGTAACTTATCTCATAGGTTTGTTCATTTTGTATTTATGTTGTATTGTCATGCTGTTTTGTGTTGTTATATGTTGTTTGTTGTTGTTGTATTAAGTTATGTATTATATGTAATGTTATGGGTTGTGCCATGTTTTATTGAATGTCATCTTAATTCTTGGTCACAGTATCTGCAAAGCTTTATACGCTGTGGGCCAAGTGAGTACTCTGCCTACTGTGCAGAGCGGCTCCGGAGGACTCTAGCCAATGGAGAAAGAAATGAGCCGCCATGTTGGGTTGAACTACAGGTAGGCAATCCCTATGACTTATATAAAGAAGATTAGCTGTCCTAGACTAAATCTAACGGACTGTTCTTTCATATTTCTGCCAGTCTGTAGAGAATAAGAATCCTATTGGAGTGGCTGTGGGTCTGATGGATGGCAGAAACATCAGCCTCACTGTGGACTCCGCCAGCACCTCAGCAGAGGTGTGCACTGCCATCAGCCAGAACACAAACCTGCAGGACAGTTTTGGCTTTTCCCTGTATGCCGCAATGTATGAGAAGGTGTGTAACATCTGAATGGCTTCCTTTCACCTGCGAAAAGTCACATGTGAATTGCATTAGAGATCAAAATAAGAGAACAGTCTACAGTTTTCTAAATATACTTTACAGACAGCAGTAAAAGAGCAGTTTTTAATCATTAATGATGAGTTACATATATTTTGGAGCACAGTATATTATATAAATGAAGACTTTCAGATATCTGCCAGTTATTGTTGTAGCTATCCACATTCACTCTCTGACTGGTCTACTGGACTATTGTCATATCACTCTGCAGCCTAAGACCGGTTACTTACTGAAGCTAAGCAGGACTAAGCCTGGTCAGTACCTGCATGGGAGACCACATAGGAAAACTAGGTAGCTGTTGAAAGAGGTCTTAGTGAGGCCAGCAGGGTGCGCTCAACCTGTGGTCTGTGTGAGTCCTAATGCCCCTGTAAAGTGAAGGGGACAGTAATGTCAGTAAGCGTTGTCTTTTGGATCAGACGTTAACCAGAGGTCCTGACTCTCTGTGGTCATTGGAAATCCCTTGGCACTTCTCGTAAAGAATAGGGGTGTAACCCTGGTGACCAAGCCAAATTCCCTCCATCCATACCATCATGGCCTTCCAATCATCCCCATCCACCGAATTGGCTCTATAACTGTCTCTCCACTCCACCAATAGCTGGTGTGTTGTGAGCACACTGGCCCCATTGTCATGTGGCTGCCGTCGCATCATCCAAGTGGATGCTGCACACTGGTTGTGGTTTGGAGTGACCTCCCCTCATGATTATGAAGTGCTTTGGGTGTATTGCCAAACATGATACATGCGCTATATATACACATTACATTACGTTGATTATTTGACCATTAAACAACACCGGTAGACCGCAAGTACAGACATCTGCATAATATGTTGATTCACTGTGAGCGTGAATGGTCACATGTCATGCAAACGCAAATATGGACGAGGAGCATTTTCATTCTGAAATGCCATTTTGTAATGTAAATGGCACCTGAGGCTTAATTAGACTGTTATTTTCTTGTTGTAAAATGAAACAACCACCAAAATGGTTAAAGTAGTTACTTGAAGCTGAACACATTTAAATAATGAAATGGCAGTCTAGAGTCCTGATGTAAACCTGATTGAAAATCTCTGGAAAATCCTTGGTGACAAAGTCACAGAAGTGTGGAAGAGACTGAAGAAGAGCAGATTGAGATCACAGCAGAGCAGTGTGAGAGACTGTTGATGCCTGTGGCTGCAGATTTCCTAAATCATACAAAATTATAGAGCATTTGCAATTCCTAGTTATTTTTGACTGTTGTAACCAGAAATTTTAGCTGTAATCTATCTTTATGTTACAATCATTGTTGTTCTCTAATTCGGATCATTGTGATTTTAACAACAATAGATGTTTCGGTTGAAGTTCCTTGGTTATTTTGGTAAAACACTGTAAAGACTACAAATTAATAAAAATTAAAAATGTGTCCATTAAATGTTTTTTTTTATTAAATAATTTAAGAATTAATAAAACTATATATTTAAAAAATAATAAAAACTATAATAATTTAATAAATATTTAAATTTTAAATCAATTTAATAATTGTAAATATTTGTATTTTATTTATAAAAAATTCTTTATTATTTATTTAAAATATTAAAATATATTAAAAATAACAACAAAGATGACATTATTTCAGTTAAGTCACCTTTATTTCTATAGTGCTTTGTACAGCATAGACTGTGTCAAAGCTTTACATGGATAAATATATTATTATAATTTATCAATATTTAATTTTGTGGAACATTAGGCAGCAGAATAATCCCATCTTGACCCTTTATAGAAGCAAGAGTACCATAGTATTGACATGTGCATCTCTCCTTCAGATGTGGTCTCTTGGCAGTGGCAGTCAGCACATTCTGGACGCCGTGTCTATGTGTGAACAGGAAGAAAAGAGGCAAGGGCGAGAGGAGCAACACGCCCCCTGGCGCCTCTACTTCCGCAAAGAGATCTTCACACCATGGCATGACTGTTCATCTGACCAAATCAGCACAGAGCTCATCTACAGGCAGATCATCCATGGACTTAAAAATGGAGAATATCTGTCTGATAAGGTCAGCTTAGGTTCTGTTCTTTTGTTTTGTTGGTGTAGCATGTAGTTATAATAGGAAGGAGATTTGTAATGTTGTTGTTGACCTTAATCTTCATCTAGGAGGATGATTATGTGCAGCTCGCAGCCAAACATTACTATGTTCAGCATGGCTCTGAAAGCAGTTTGGAAATTGCTCAGAAGATTGTTCGCGATTGCATGAATATGACAATAATCGAGAACAAGTCGTTGGTCAAACTAGTGCAGTTGGTCAATTCTGCACACACTCAGGTATATTCATATGCTGCTACACACACATATATACTTGTTCACAATAATCATGCACAGAATTACAAGCAGCACTCTTGTGTAATGGCAGGGTCCCTACATAAACACCAACACACCTGTCTACAAAGTGAAATCAGAGACTGTTGAATATGCTCAACAGAAGTGGCCAATCCATTTCTCCAAGTTATATGAGGCTCAAGTGATTTCAGGTAAGTTTTCCTTTTGTTTTTTAAGAATGCTTCATTCATTCATTCATTTTCTTGTCGGCTTAGACCCTTTATTAATCCGGGGTCGCCACAGTGGAATGAACTGCCAACTTATCCAGCAAGTTTTTTATGCAGCGGATGCCCTTCCAGCCGCAACCCATCTCTGGGAAAACATCCACACACACATTCACACACTACGGACAATTTAGCCAGCCCAATTCACCTGTACCACATGTCTTTGGATTGTGGGGGAAACCGGAGCACCCGGAGGAAACTCTCGCGAAGGCAGGGAGAACATGCAAACTCCACACAGAAACGCCAACTGAGCCGAGGTTCGAACTAGCAACCCAGCGACCTTCTTGCTGTGTGGCGAACGTGCTACCCACTGCGCCACTGCCTCTTTTTAAGAATGCTTTATTTCAAAATGTACATTTTGTTGATGGTACTAATATGTTGTTCCAAACCTGCTAATTTTATCTCTTCTGTTAGACGCAATAGGAGAGCTTTTGAGGAAAGCTCATGTCTTTATTTCTTTAATCTTGTAGTTACATCAAACAGAGACAGTGCATAAATTGGTGGAATTTATTTCCCAAACATGCAAAGCTGATAAAGATATGGTCCATGTAATATATTACCAACAATGGGTTAAACATTGAGTTAAAGATTTAAATTTAAAGTTGTATCTTTATTTACTTACACTCATGTCATTTCAATCCCCAGAGACATGAGACATTCAAAATCCAGAAAAGGAACCACAAACAAACAGTTCCACATGGCATCAGTGGTTACTGTAACTGTAATCATTCGAAGCTCTAAAAACACTTTTGCATGCCAAAATCAATAATTTGACAATATGTTTTGTTCATTTATCCAATCTCTGGATTGTTGCTTTATATATAAGCGAAGGGAGCTCTTGGATTCAATCAAAAATATCTTCATTTATGTTCTTAAAATGAATGAAGTTCTCAGGGGTTTGGACATGGACAACATTTGGGTAATTAGAGTAATTATTGACAGATCTTTGTCTTTTGAAGCCATTTGATTTTTAGGAAGAACAGAGTGACATTGAAAACTCCTCATACAGAATCATTTCACTGAACGAAAAATAGCAGCTTGTATGTTTTGTTGTAAACATCTTTTGTATCCACAGAAAAAAAGTCTAAAATATAAACATTATTAAGTTACAATTAGTCTGTTTGGGTGAACTATCCCTTTTTGCACTGAATTTGTGAACTAACTGTTTAATTTGTGTTCAGGTCCTTCAGTTCCTCAAGACCAGTTTGTAGTTGTGGTGAACTGGAAAGGAGTCTTCTTTCAAGACGAGACAGAAGGCGAATTCCTGCAGCTCTCGTATCCTGAGGTGTCGAGAATTGAAATAGTCAGGTTAAAAAGGAACTTTTCATAATAAACTTCAATTTTATCAAGAAATTCACTTTTTAATGGCGGTTGGTTGCAAGTAAATGTGCACATCTCTTACAAAAAACTAAACATATTGAACATCGCACATCCCATGAAGCAATCAATGCTTCAGTACAAGTTAGATGGTAATTAAACAGCTCGGACATTTGCCTCAGGCAAGGCATTCAGTGTCAACAGATCATTAGTTTCCTAGATAATAAATTAGCCCATATATTCATTATATTTTATTTAACCTGTTAGTGTTCTTAATTATGTAATGTAATATAATATGTAATATAAAATTTGAAAGTTATAAGAAAGAAACGAGTTACTATGCAGAAACCTAATTTAAAAAAATTAAGATAGTAATATAAAATCTGCATTGTATGCAATTTAAATGCTGCATACTTTTTCAGTTATTTAAGTGTTGATTATAATATAAACAAATAATAAAACAAACAAACAATTGAATTCAATATTTTGGGCTCTGCTGTTCATTTCAGCCTTTAATATAGTAATAATGCGTAATAGAAAATCCCATTCTATAATTGAACTGAAGCATTACTGTAGCTCATGTAGATTTTTTATTCTTGAGAAAACTGCAGTTTTATATAATATAATATAATATAATATAATATAATATAATATAATATAATATAATGTAATGTAATGTAATGTAATGTAATGTAATATAATGTAATGTAATGTAATGTAATGTAATATCATATCATATCATATAATATAAAGGCACTTTTATGGCAATTTCCCTTCTTTGCTGTGACTTCAAATCATTTCTAGCTAAGGTGCTTTCTTGTTTCTCCTACAGTGAGGACAGGTCTGGTGGGTTGGTGTGTTTGACGACTCCAAAGGGGATGTATGAGCTGAAGATTGTGAAAGGAAAAGAATTAGTGGAACTGGTCAACATGTTCATCTCAGGCCTTAAAGAGAGATCCATGTACGCTGTGGCAATTCAAGACCTCAGCAGACAAGGTGCCTCTTCTGCACTGGCTATATTTTGGCAGTATTATATTTTGGCAATTTAGAATGTTACGAAATAATGTGGTATGGATACTGAACTGTATAACATTTATACCCCCCTTCACCCCTCCGTTCAGAGGATCCCACATTGCTGAGCTACAGACGAGGCGATGTGCTGTATATCATAAAGGATGGAGAATATTCTCTCGAAGAAGGGTGGATAAAAGCAAGGAACGAGAGGACAAGTCAAACTGGGGCAGTTTCCTTAGATGCAATTCAGATTCTGCCCATGTTGACCAGGCCTACAGAAGAGACACTGGTAAACAGCAATTCTTTAGTTTCACACTGAATTTTGGAAAATATTTTTCGAAACAAAACTCTTTACTGTTGTTTTGATGGTTTGTCTTGAAATTAAATACCAAATTAGAAATGATGGGCTTTATTTTAACGGTCCATGCGCAGAGCGCAAAACGCAGGGCGCAAACGCTTTCAGGGCGTGTCAGAACGCATTTTTGCTAATTTAAGGATGGGAAAATCTGCTTTGCGCCATGGCACATGGTCTAAAAGGGTTGAGTTTATTTTCTTAATGAGTTATAGGTGTGTTTTGAGAATAAACCAATTAGAGTCTCATCTCCCATTCCCTTTAAGAGCCAGCTGCATCACGCCATAAGTGCATTCGCTATTTACAGAACTCAAAGTAAGTCTAAGTGGAAAAACTGAGCATTTCACTAGCAAACAGTTAACAGTTGAAAGTTTTTTTTTTTTTTACAGAAAACTGTTAAACAGAGCATCTACTGCGTGAGAAAAAGAGATAAAAGATCACTTTCACTTTCGTTCTTGAATAGGGAAACCTTTACGCACATCAATTAGTCTATAAATAATTAATTGCGTTTGTTAAGCACAAATATTCGTTTCAAAACTATTTCTGAATTCAGTTTTAATTTCCAGCAAACGAATAAATGAACAATAATAACAAAATGTTATATCCTAAAACACATGCTGTGCCCCATATGGTCTAAAACCTGACAGGTGGGCAAATCTAAGCTTGTTTTTAATAAAACAAAAATAAATATGGATATAATAAATAATACTGCTAATAATAATAACATTATACAAAAGCAAATTGTTATGAATGAACTGAAAAAGCCTCCCGAGATGAAGAAGGCATAAAAGCAGTGATTTTTCATATTTATGTAGGCTAGAAAATAATATGTTTTGTAATATTTTAATCCTTTATATTTATATCCTATATCTATTCTTATTATATCCTATATATATCCTCAATATTTACATTTTTTCATATGTAAAAATATTTGCCTTTTGCTCTCTTGTGCGTATTAAGCAGTGTGTAAGCGAGGCACAACTCTGTGCCGGAATGAAAAATCTATTTTAGTTTCTCAAAATAGCGACGCGCCAGCAGTGTGCCTCAGAACGCCTTTCTTTTTAGACCAGAACGCCTATGGACGCACATATGAGCGCTAATGCATTTGCTATTTAAACAGTGTAGCGCAACGCCACAAAACAACTTTTGCACCAAGCTGAAACTACAAAACAAGTATTGCGCCGTGCCTTGCGCCACATTGCGCGGGTGTATGATAAGGCCCGATGTGTCAACACTGACAGCCTTCACTTAAAGTAGAGAGCACCATTATATTAAGGGTGTACCAATTTTGAGTAGCAGGTTGTGGAGGTTTTTCTACCCCATCAACCCCTCTCTCTAACTTCACCGCTGTACTTTCCTATCACCATAAAGGAAAAAATGAATCCTAAAATAAAAAAAAAACAAATAGTCAATGCAATAGTCCAGTGGTTAGTGTGCCGACCAGGGGCGCCGCTAGGGGGAGGCAGTTAGGACGATTGTTAGGTCCTCTGGGTGCTCTGGTTTCCCCCACAAGTCCAAAGACATGCACTATAGGTGAATTAAATAAACTAAATTGTCCGTTGTGTATCAGTGTGTGTGAATGAGAGTGTATGGGTGTTTCCCATTACTGATTATGTGGCTGGAAGGGCATCCATTGAATAAAACAAATGCTGGAAAAGTTGGTGGTTCATTCCACTGTGGAGACCTCTGAAACAGAAACTAAGCTGAAGGAAGATAAATGAATGAAATATTAAAGATTTACTTTTAAATATTTTAAACTTTTTTCTATTTCAAACTTTAAATTGAAAGGTTTTATCCTTAAGCTGACAAAATATGCTGAGTCTTGTAAATCAAGTCAGACTGTACAGGAACAGAATTATAAAGAGTCATTCTGTCCTCTAGAATTTGCTGAATTTGAGCCCAGCACGGAGGAAGTCAGTGATGCCGGTGTTGCCGCAGAAGGAGGAGCTCAGCACAGAGAGAGTGGCCCACATGACGCTCAAGGAGTTCTCCTTTGATTATTTCAGGTAACACACATTTGATTTGCAATCATCTTAAGTAATGTAGGATGGATCGACTTAAAAAAATGTGCAGCTTGAAGTTCCCCTGTTATGATAATAAGCCAGAGGTACTTAAGATCATGTCATCGATGCGTTACAGGGATCCAGTTAATGAAGGCCGTCGTGGCAAAGGAGGCAAAGAAAAACTGTGGGCCAACAGTAAAGAGCCTCTCAAACAGCCACTGATCAGGAATCTGCAGGGCAACTCAGAGCTCTGCCACCTTGCTTCTGACTCCTTCACAGATATCCTTTCCACCTGTTTACTGAATTAACAGAAAACTCAATTTGTTTTGTATTAAATAAAGCTGTAAATACTGCATGATGCTAAAGACTGCTCAATGAATGCATGAAGCTCACTATTTTTCTTTAACATGGTCTCCACCTATCCTTAAATATATGGGAGATTATCCAGTCAAGCATGTGAGGACGCCCATAGATCTAACAAACCAGATCTTTGGGCCGGCAACAGCACACGTCGAACTTAGAGATGAAATCTACTGTCAAATAATGAAGCAGATGACTAACAACAGAAATGGGTTTGTTGACTTAGTTATAACTTATTTTTGATCCAGATGGGAAATTGTTGTGAATGATTGTTAATTGCAGTCTTGTTCGTCTGTTAGGTTGAGTATGGAACGAGGCTGGCAGCTGTTGTGGCTGTGCTGTGGTCTCTTCCCTCCAAGTCAGTTGTTATTGAGGCACGCTCAACGTTTTCTGGAGTCCAGACCCAGAGAGCCGCTGGCTTCTGCCTGCCTGCAGAGAATGCAAGCAATGCTCAGGTACACCTTTATATAGTCAAATAGTTCACCCCTTAAAGCCCTTAAAAAGAACTAGCGGCAATTTAAAACGAATGTGCTGTTCCCTCATGTCAACTGTGTCTGGTTCCGTCTGGCCCAAAAAAACTGCATGTGAACAAACCAAACAAAGAACAGAGATTTAAATAAGATTGTGTGTTCTGTGCTTGCATGAGAGGATTTATCTTTCCATACCTGCAGGTGGCAGTATCTGTATTGTCATTCTGCTACAGGAAACCAGAATTAGTTCTGTACACAAACAAACCGTAAACAAAGCAGTGTTTAAGTACCATATATCTGATCATCTGATAATCCGTATAATTTGCTTATGTTTAATAAATGTGATAAAAATTACATTTGGCTCACTTGTGTTCCCTCTTGATTCGAATAACTAGCTTAGTTTCATCACTTCAGAGAGCTTTCTTTCACCAATAGCAAATGCTGATTCTACATGCTGAATCAGGCAAAAAAACAAACTAACCTGACAGACTTTCACTGATGGTCCGATGCTGCCCAGTGAAGACTGTCAGCTTGGTGTGTCCCAGACTTAACCGAGCCAGCATCAAAAACGCCTGGAAATGGCAAAAACTGCACTTTTTTGGCAGTGGAAGTTAAAAATATCTGACTTCCTGTTGGGTTTGAAATTGCGCTCCAAGAGACCTTTTTGTATGTTTTGGCATGTTTGATGTGTGTGTCAGTTTTCGTACTTGTGCGTAAAGTGTAGCATGGGGGCCAGTCCGTCAATTGTGCATAGGTGGCCCTGTCAAGTCATTTTGCCACACCCTCTTCCGTAACCTTTAACAAACATACATTTGCGCCACTTCTGAGTTTTCGGGCATGTTTAGACCCTCAAAATCACAATTCAGAAGAAAAAGAAGAAGAAGTAGAAGAAGAAGAAGCAGAAGCAGAACAAGAAGAATTCCAATATAGGGCCTACGCACCGATGAACCAGTGGCAATGAAATCCAACTGTGATTTCATCTGCTATAAAGTTTTAGGACTGATAGCACGAACTTTAAAGAGCCCAAAATTCCAGAAGCCAACACTGACCCAAAAAAGGGACACATGCTTTATACTCTAGATAGTATTAATTAATGAATTAATGCTCAGCATTTGAACTTTCATGAGAGAAAATAATACTGCATATGGGAATGAGCAAGGAGAGCTAAGGAAGGAAAGTTTGAGGAGTCACTGACAACCAACAAAGAAATTGAAGAGTCCGTGGCCATCTAGTGACTGGTGTAGGTAGAGAGGTCTCCCTAATCTGTGAAACTACGTTTTTCCATTCTGGATGGCTATGCGTAATTGAGGAGTGAGCACACACCTGTAGTGGCCAGGAAACAAATAGGGTATTGGTGATTTGCTTAAATGCACCTCAATTATGAGTATTAAAGGTGGAGGAGAGCATTGTTCATTGACTCCCCCTTGATTTCATTCAAAACTTTTGCCAGTAAACATATTTCATCATTTTTACTCTCACTGTCTAAGAGCCAACTGGATCTGACCACAGCCAGTGATGTGCAAATATTGCTCAATTTTGGCCTGTTTTGTCACAAACTTTAGGCCCCAACATGGAATGATCAAAAAGGTGAAAGTTGACCTATTATTGCAATGTTTTTGCCCCTGCACAGTATTGAGGGAAGGAAGTTGCCTCCTCACCAGGTGGAAGTGGATGCCATTCAGAATAACAGCACTCAGATCTTCCATAAAGTCCATTTCCCCAATGATACATCTGAAGTAAGGAGTGACATGCTCAGCTTAACCATTGTTTCTTATTATTTTCTTCACTCAAATTAAAAGCTGTCTTTAATTTCAGATATTTGAGGTGACCACCACCACAAGGATCAAAGACTTGTGTCGCAACATTGCCAAAGACCTCCGTCTGTCCTCACCAGAGGGATACAGCCTGTTTGTGAAAACCTCCACAAAGGTTTTAGATATGATTTCTCCATTCTCTTTTTTATTCCTGCTGGAGGTGTGTTAAGTCAGAGCTAAACTTTACCACATCTGATATTTTCAGGTAGAGAGTATGAATTCTGAGGAGTACTTTTTTGACAACCTCAGGCAACTCACAGATGTTACCAAAAAAGGAAAGAAAGTCAGGGAAGGTGAGCTGTTTAGCTTATTAAACACTGTAATAAACGTGTTTATTAAGTTGGACTGTCCCTACAGTATGATTAACATCCTTCATCTTGAACACAGCTACTCCAACTATTGTCCCGTACCTGGTACTCTTCATGAGGAAGCTCTGGTTTAATGTGATCCCAGGGAAAGATATAACTGCTGACTTAATGTTCCACTTTCCTCAGGTATGTTGTCTATCTGATCAGTCCATACTATACATTAAGCCAAACACTGTTAACAGTATTCTAACATCAATTTTACCTCTTACACTGTGTAGGAACTATTTATATGATGTAATAAAGTGCTGCAATAAAGATTTTTTTTTGCCCAACCTGGACGTTAGACTTACTACAGTCTTGCATAGACCCCATTCTAGCAACATTGATAATAAAATCAACATTAAAAGCAAACAATAAAAAAAATGTGCCAAAAACGTCTGGTTTCCCATCTAGCTGCTTGTTAATAACTGCCATTTTTAAGACATGTAAAGACTCCAAAAGTCACAATTGGGTATATAACTGATATATTTTACATTTAAGAATATCAACATTTAATTGTAAGTCCTTTGAGTTTACAAACCACGAAATGAAACAAGTCCAAATTGCTTGAGTTTTAAAATAAGTTAAAAGTCATTCATGTCCAAAATGTCTTTTTTTTATTTTCCCAGGAATTGCCCAAGTATCTGCGGGGGTACCATAGTGTGTCTAAAGAGGACATGATCGCTCTAGGTGGACTGTTGTTTCGTACTCGGGTTGATGCAGATAAGTCTCAGTTTGTCATGATCCCCAGAATGCTGAAAGAACTGGTGCCAGCTGATCAGCAGAAGATCATGACTGCTGAGGACTGGAAAAAGGTGATCCTCAAATCCTTTATTTACCTAATTTATTTCAAATATATAGTTCTGCATGTCTTCATTTTGTACCAAACCAAAGCGAAGTACCTTCTTAAGCACTGTGCATTACCTTACAAAAATAAACTACCATTAAAACAGTTTCTACTAAAAATATGAGTAGCACAACTAGCAGGCAAAATGGCAGCAACAGTGTGATCTTTTATAAAAATGAGAATTATTTTCTTTTTGTGTGTGTTCAAACCAGACTTTCAGCAAAGTTTAAACCCCATCTGGCTATTGCACTTCCACAACACATTTAGTACTGTATTATTCAAGAACAATGCCAGTAGGCAAAAAGTAACTGGTCTTGAGGGGATTTTCAAATGCATTCAATGACAGTCAGAAGCGTTTTCAGCTACCTTTGGACATGGTAAAAAAATGGTGAAGCTCGAAACATTTCAGACCACATTTACACAATCTGAATTAACAAGAAAGCATCCTAGAACCAGATGTAAGCAGGGCTTACATTAGGAGAGTGTAGAGCAGGGGTCATCAACCCTGTTCCTGGAGAGCTACCTTCCTGCAAAATTCAGTCCCAAACCTGATCAAACACAGCTGAACCAATTAATAGTACCTAAAGCAGCACTTGATAATTACAAACAGGTGTGTTTGTTCAGGGTTGCAACTGAAATGTGCAGGAAGGTAGCTCTCCAGGAACAGGGTTGATGACCCCTGGTGTAGAGTGTGATCTACCTCTGGAAGTAGATCAAAACTTGTTAGACCATGTTTACACCTGCATTTAGTGTCATCCATTAGGAAATGAATTGAAAATTGTTAACAGTTGTTAACCTGGAGATTTATCGAAGAGATATTGCTTCAAAATGCATTAGCAAATAAATACTTTTGGCAAGACTGGATCCTACAATGAAAACAGTGACTCTACTGTCTTTCATTCAAAGTGCATTTTTATTTTGGGTTAAGTGAAAAATTATGGTTTCTGATTATAACCTTTTTTTTATATAATATTTTCCTTAAAGCAAAAGTAAAACAACCAGCAATAGCACAGCCTAACATTATATGTGTTTATTTTAATTTAGTGCAATTTTACTTGGACTGTGATTTTAAGTCATTTTAAAGTAATTCAATTAATTCATCATCTATAAAAACAATATTTTACCATGTTTTTTTTTTCTTGGGCGGATTAAATGTTTTTATTGATATTAAAATACATTTTTCATTTTCAACCAAGTCAAAACTAAGCGTAGTTAATAATTTTTGCTCTAACAAATTACAGTATTTGTTTAGGTTTGTCCAAAGCAAGATTATACTTTAATCTAAGGTTAAAAAAAGATTGTACTTTGATACTAAAGTAAAAAACACATTTATTTTCTTTATATTAAATACATTTTGGATGACGGGGTGGCGCATTGGGCAGCGATGTTGCCTTACAGCAAGAAGGTCGCTGGTTTGAGCCTGTTCTGGGTCAGTTGGCATTTCTGTCTAAACTTTGCATGTTCTCCTTGTGTTCATGTGGGTTTCCTCCAGGTCCTCCGGTTTCCTAGTCAAAACACATGTTTTTAGCTGAATTGGATGAACTAAGTTGGCTGTAGTGTATGTATGTGTATGTGAGATTGTATGGGTGTTTCCTAGTGATGGGTTGCAGCTGTGTAAAACATATGCTGGATAAGTTGGCAGTTCATTCCGCTGTGGTGACCCCTGATGAATAAAGGGATTTTTTAAAAGTTGGTTAAAAGTGTATTTTTTCATTGTAAGATTAATTGTTTGTGTCTTTGGTCTGCAGCACATCATCAATTCATACAACAAGCAGGCAGGCATGAGTGTAGACGAAGCCAAACTGCAGTTTCTGAAGACAGTCTCACCATGGCCAACCTTTGGGTGTGCTTTCTTCGAAGTAAAGGTAAAGTAACACTAAAACACTAAAAAATAAAACTAACTGCTAATAAAGGAGGCTGTTTTCTAAATAATGACTCTCTTTTTTCTCACAGCAAACCTCTGAGAAGAATTACCCCAGTGTTATTATGATATCAATCAGCAAACAAGGAATCAGTCTTATCAACTCAAAGACAAAGGTACAAATCCAGAAATAAAGTAGCCCGGCCATGTCTTAGCATTGTGAAATTAACAATTGTTTTGGTTGGATTGCTGCAGGAGGTGCTCGCGGCGCATCTGTTCAGTAAGATTACATCCTGGTCCAGTGGAAGCACCTATTTTCACATGACCATCGGCAACCTGGTGCAGGGCAACACTCTGCTCTGTGAGACCTCACAGGTAAACACTGTAAAAACACTATTCCTTCACTATTCTTTCACGTTGTCTCAACACAAACTAACGCCCCCTTCACATGGAGCTTCAACATCAGCGCTCGACAGAGGGCGTGTCTGAAGTTATTGCTGATGCGATCATCATAGCAGCGTCAGCCAATAAAATTTGTCAGCAATAGGCCACTGTCTGAGCGGGTGTATTGGCATACAGCGATCTGATTGGCTGACGTTTCTGCTGGCGCTTGAAAAGTTGAGCAAGTCCCAACTTCTACAGCGAGCAATGCCTCTGAAGCCGCGCCGACAGATCCACAATGCAGTTGCAATGCAGTTGCATTGAAGCTGACGCCCTGTGTGAATGGGGCTAAATTGTTTTCATGAATTTAAATGGATTGAACAGAAAACAATTAAGTTGTCACCCAAAAAACTGGAGAGTTGTGTTGACTCAGATCATTTTAAATAAGTAGTTTAAACAAGCAGCAAAAATTTTTTTTGAGTAAATATAGCCCACACACACATTTGTACAGATATATTTATGGGGACTTCCCATAGACGTAATGATTTAAAGATTGTACAAACTGTATAATCTCTCCCCCACCCCTAAACACAACCCCCATTTATGAGTTAGTTTTATCGTGGGGGACCAAAAAAAAAGATACCATAATGTCAAAATGGACTTTTATTTCTACATTTGATGGGATAATGTTCTTTTGAAAAATTGGGACAAGGACAATGTCTCCATAATCTACCTTGTCTTTATAATACCCAAGTCATATCTATGCCATTATGCAAGAAAACACACACACAAAAACACATAAAAAATACACACATATTTGCGTTTTGTTTTGGACTTAACAAACACTGTAAAATGTAATAAGTTGACCTTACTTAGAAAATTTGAGGAAACTGATTGCCTTCATATTTCTAAATAGTGTATTCATTTTAAGTGAGTATAACTTAAAACAGTTTGTATTTACAACTTAATAAAGTAAACGTCAGCACTGCTGACTCAATAATTATTTATTATCAAGTAAGCTGAACTAAAACAATTAAGTAAGGACAAAAATAAATGTCTTATTTATCAAAAGTTGATATTTAGCCATACCATGTTGGTGTTTCGTAAAACATCTAATTTATAGCCCAATGCTCAACCCCCAACCTGGAGGGCCAGGACATACACACACATATACTACATACAGTTTAGCTTACCCAATTCACATATAAAGCAACAGAAATGCCAGCTGACCTAGCTGGGGCTTGAACTAGCAACATTCTTGCTGTGAGGCGACAGCACTACCCACTGCGCCACCTGTTTCCTCAATTCCCTCGGTTTTTTAAGGTATACCACGGTTTGGAAAATTCAAGGTTTTAAAACTGCCAAAATTTTCAATAATACCGTTTTTTAGGACAACAGTATCTCCAGCAGAAAAAAACAAAAACAAAGATGCCGTTTTAAATTTAAGTTTTTGAAACGAATGAAGACAGCAGAAGTCAATGATTCATTTTAGTTATTTAGCCTGACATGTTTACTGCTCCAAAATATTTTAAGTCGTTAAAAAAACTAAATATATTGTGTTCAAAAGGGAAAAAAGTTTTAGTTATTTTACCCAGAAAAATAATATATTTTAGAGCAGTAATCACAACACTGTTATCCTGTGATTCTGTGAAACTGTGATATTTTTATCCAAGGTTATCATACTGTCAAAATCTTATACCGGCCCATGCCTACACATGATCACTCAAAAGTTGTAAATACATATTATTGTAGGTCAAGATTACCTGAATCTCTTTAGTTTAACAACTTGTGCTAAAAAGTTGGCATTACTTGTTTAAATATTGTAAAGTAAACAAACTTTTTCTTAATAAGTTAACCGCACTTAATTTTATTAGTGAGAACAGCTATTGCTTTTTTTACAGTGCAGAGAGTGACAGCTGGTTTCTAGAAGTACAAAAAATCCTTCATCATATGAAAGAAAATATGTTTTTATAAAAAATAGAACTTTTTAAACAGCAGCTGTGAGCTCTGAGGTGGTTCATTAATTGTATGTGCTTTTGTTGAACAATAAGTTCATTCATCTTCTCTTTTAATCAATCATGTTCAGTATCTGTATTCATATATGAAAACTCAATTACCCATGACGCTGTTTAAATAAATCAACCAATCAGAAAGTCACAGTGAGCAAAGTGCACAGAGTAAACAATGTCAACAAAAAAGACCTAAATATAACAGCGGCTCAAATAATTGAGAATTTGTTTGTGTCTGAAGGTGCTGTTGACTTGAATTTTTTCACCAGATCAGCTACAATTTCATGTCAGCAACTCCTCAATATAATTACCTGGAAAAATCATCACATTATAAATATGGGGTACTTATTTTTCCCACACTGCAATAAACCTTTGAAATAACTAGTTTCCACAAAGTTTTGGAAAAGTCATGGAAAACAGATATCTGGATTCTTGATATATAATATAGGTTATTTACTTCTTTTCTGTACTTGGCCAGTCACATACACTTACAATATTTGTGCAGCGTAAGCATCATCTAAATCAATTTTACATGGATATAAATATAAATTGAAACAAAATAGATTATTGCATGTTTTATGGTATGCTGTAATAAATTGAAACATGCATTGTTCTTCTTTTATCACACATATGTAGACATTGCATAAAACATTAGGTCATGAAAATTTACTTGAAAGTCTCGGGAAAATCATGGAAAAGTCATGGAATTTTAGCAGTTAAATTGTGTATGAACCCTCATTATAGACTTTTCCCTAACTAAAGCCATCAAATTCTTTTTGTCATTCATTTGCTTCACTTTGATTTAAATAGTTTGTTATTTCTGATTCTCCACATGGCTGATTGGTTTAATTTATGGCTTATAAATGCTTAACAACTGATATTTTTTTTTATCTCTGTAAGGAAAACAGATATAAGAAATATTTCTAGAATCAACGTTAATGAAAAAGTGATTAAAACACTTACTATTTTATGTTCTTTTATAATGTACAAACTGTATTTTTAATCCCTAAACATAACCCTCACAGAAATCATTTTGCATTTACAAAATAGCTTTATTTATAAGCTATTTTGAGGATGAAAAAAACAAATATTTCTATAGTGTGAAACGTACTTACGATAATCTTCTCTCTGACTGTTTGTTTCTTGCAGGGTTATAAAATAAGTGACCTCCTGTCATCCTACAAGAATCTGTACGTATCTGTGTCTGGATCATACGCCAGTGGTGCAGCCAGAAATCAGCGATTCGCCTGAATCATTGTCAAGTACAATTTTAATACATGATCATAGCCCTTTTATTTAAAACATATTCCCCATGATAATTGTGGAAATTGTGGAACATAAGATACAATATGAATAACTGCAGGAAATTAGTTTTCACTTTTTATTATGTAGGAATTATTAGTATATACAACTGTCAGTGAATCAGCTGTTGCTTGCTGCTTCCTCTTTATGCATATATATTTTAAATAATTATTTATAGGCTTGACTATTTATTATTGTTTCAATAGTCCACCTTTTCATTGACTTTGCATGACAACGTTACACCAGGTGGCAGTGTTTTTGCAGTTTAATTCTAATCTGTCTAATATTGCTTTGAACAACCATATTTTAAAATAAAAATGTAAACTTCTAAATGGCTTCTAGTTGTATTTATGAATGAGTGATGACTGTTAGTCATTGTAATAAAAAATATAATAATATTCCACATTTAATGGGAATGTAATAAGGGATAAATTGACACACACACACACACACACACACACACATACATACACACAGACACACACAGACACACACACACACACACACACACACACATACACACACAAACATACAATCAAAATGATTATTAATATTAAAATGCAATACACTACATATATAACTAGAATTGTTTAACAGGCCAGACAATGGGAAGTGTTTGATTTCTGAAATATAAATATCTGACTCTTGATGGCCTTTATATGGCCTCTCGTTCTCTCCATTGCTGCATTTATTTGATAAAACAGCAATAATGTGAAATATTATGTCAATTTTAATAACTGTTTTCTATTGTAATGTGTATAAAAATATAATTTATTCCTGTAATAATTCTTATTTAGATTAGAGAGTTCTTTCTTATTACATTCGTTTGATAATTTTTATGTATCCTTAAAAAAATTAATTTCACCGCTCTGTTAAAATATTCTGATGAATCATTTCTGATGAGTACAAACAATATTTTAAAGGAACCTGTAACCTGCTGCACACCGATGGATTTGTTCTTCAGTGTTTGGACTTTCAGCAGTAAAATGTAACCACACTGAACTGAACTGAACTAAACTAAACTTTAACTCTGAAACTGGACTGACACATTTTAAATTTACTTGAACGTCTATGTTAAGCTGCTTTGACACAATCTACATTGTAAAAGCGATACAGAAATAAAAATGAATTGAATTGTATTGTAACCACTGAAATCTATAGAATAAGTTTTCTACTACAATGTCAGAAATAAAGGTACACAAGCTGTCACTGACCCCAGAAAGTATCCCTTACTTTCGATGTCGACCACCTGGTTCATGGATTGCCACCCCGACAGGCACCACAGACCTTATGGCCACCGCTCCTCAAGGCCGCGTTAACAATATAGTCGGAGAACATGGACCACTTGGTCTCTACGTATGTCTATGCCAGCGGATCCAACTCACTACCAGGTGGTGATTAGTTGACAGCTCTGCCCCTCTCTTTACCCGAGTGTCCAAGACATACGGTCGGAGATCAGATGATACAACCATAAAGTCAATCATCGGCCTCCACCCTAGGGTGTCCTGGTGCCAAGTGCACTGATGGACACCCTTATGCTTGAACATGGTGTTCGTTATGGACAAACTGTGATTAGCACAGAAGTACAATAACAAAACACCACTCGGGTTCAGATCAGGGAGGCTGTTCATTCCGATCAAGCCTCTCCAGGTATCACTTTCATTACCCACATGGGCAATGAAGCCCCACTGTAGACCAATGGAGTCCTCAGTCTGGGCACCTTCCAACACCCCTCCCAAGGACTCCAAGAAGGCCGGGTACTCTGCACTGGTGTTTGGCCCGTAGGCACATACCACAGTGAGAGATCTATCCCCGACCCGAAGGCGCAGGGAGGCGACCCTCTTATTCACCGGGGAAAACTCCAACACATGGTGACTAAGTTTGGGAGCTATAAGCAAGCCCACACCAGACCGCCACCTCTCACCGTAAGCAACTCCAGAGTAGAAGAAAGTCCAGCCTTTTTTAAGAAGTTGAGTTCTAGAGCCCCAGCTGTGCGTGGAGGTGAGCCCAACTATCTCTAGCCGGTACCATTCCACCTCCCGCACAAGCTCAGGCTCCTTCCCTCCCAGTGAGCTGACATTCCATGTCCCAAGAGCCAGTTTCTGTGCCTGACGATCGGATTGTCAAGGTCCTAACCTTCGACCACCACCAGTTCCACAATGCACCAGCTCCTTACGGCTCCCCCCGCAGGTGTTGGGCCTGCGGGAGGATGGTCCCACGTCGCTCCTTCGGGCTAAGCCTGGCCGGGTTCCGTGGGAAAAAAACCAGGCCATCAGGCGCTCTCATACGAGCCCCAACCCCAGGGCTGGCTCCAGTGTGGGGCCCCGGCTGCGCCATATCGGTCGACGTCACAGTCTTTGATGTTACTGAACTCATAAGGGGTTTTGGAACCGCACTTAGTCTAATCTATCACCTAAGACCTGTTTGCCTTGGGAGACCCTACCAGGGGCATTAACCCCAGACAACATAGCTCTTAGGATCACTCAGGCACTCAAACCCCTCCACCACGATAAAGCCTGATTTATACTTCTGCGTCAGGTGACCGGCGTAACCCACGGAGCAGGCAACGCGCGTGGCTGTGCATTTGATTTATACTTCTGCGTCAAACACCGGCGTATGCTACGGCGAAGGGCTATGCGTCAGCGCCGTAGCATACGCCGGTGTTTGACGCAGAAGTATAAATCAGGCTTAAGGTGGCGGTTCATGGAGGAGAAGTACAAAATAATGCAATAAAAAAAGAGCTTGAAATATCTCATCATATTTACTCAAGAAGAAGCACATTTCGTATTATCCATTAATCTCACTGATTTAATTAAATGTTCTATTTCACATAAGAAGTCTATAAAAATTTGATTTTTTTTAAGAAACTTCTGTTTAAAAGTAACATTTCCCAGCAAGTATAAGAAAGCTCACAGTGACTTGTTTTGGTTTTCTTTTTTTTTCTCTTTTTTTTTAAATTACTTTATTTTAAGGTTTTACATAAATACATACATACATACATATATATAAATATATATATATATATATATATATATATATATATATATATATATATATATATAGCTCACAAACAGATTTATTTTATCTTTGCCATGATGACTGTACATAATATTTTACTTGATATTTTTCAAGACACTTCTATACAGCTTAAAGTGACTTTTAAATGCTTAAATAGGCAGGTTAGGGTAATTAGGCAAGTTATTGTATGACGATGGTTTGTTCTGTAGACTATCAACAAAAATAGCATAAAGTGGGTTAATCATTTTGACATTAAAATTGCTTTTAAAAAATTCAACATTGCTGTTATTCTAACCGAAATAACACAAATAAGACTTTCTCCAGAAGAAAAGATATTATCAATCATACTGTGAACATTTCATTGCTTTGTTAAACATAATTTGGGAAATATAAAAAAAATTTGAAGGGAGTTTAATAATTCTGATAGCAACTGTGTATATATACGTACATACATACATGCACAGACACACACACACACATAGAGAGAGAGAGAAAGAGAAAGAGAGAGAGAGAGAGAGAGCGCACTGTGCAGACTGTGCAGAAAATTAATAAAATCTCATAATCACAAAACATGCAATAAAAACTAGAGAGGGTCAGAGGGGTCACTGGATTGCTCTTGAGATATAGATTTTTTTATGGAGCTAGTCCTTAAAAATCTGAGTCTCTCCATCTGAATAACATTTCTAATGTGAAACAAATGGAGGAGGCCTGAAACCCATCTCTGAATATCTGAATTCATGCGTTGTATTTTCTCATGTTTACACAGTCATACAACAGATACGATCTGTGTCACATATGAGCAACAATTGAAAATTGGGTCACATGTTTTTCTGGACTGTTTTGGTTTTCAAAATAACAAATAATGTCCTTAAGGTGCAAATTGCCACTCATATTAAGATTGGAAAAGCAATATGAACTTTAATCGTTCCAAAAAATTATGATACATTGCATGAAAAGTTAAAAAAACAAGTCAAATGTCTTCACACTCATTCTTACAATCAGTAACATCCCAAAATTTAAACAAGTGTGCATTACATGAGTAAATATTGCGCAAAATTTTAAAGTGCACCGCTTTTATTTTATTAGAAATACAAAAAAAATTGTATGGTAATAACAACCATTGGATGTTAACAATTATAAAAATACGGCTGGGAGTGTGCATGGATGTGACAGTTCAGTGATGTAATGTAATGCCAGGCCATTTAGAGCATAAAAAACCTAGAATCTTTCTATTGTGCAATAGTTTCTTGAAAATGGAAAAAGACTCTTCAGACTCTCTCAAAAATGCTTGTTTCAATAGCTGTTCACTGAATGGTCCTTTTGAGGAATCACTACAGAAAGCCATTAAATTAATAGTGTATGGTTAATTGCTTCTTAAAGCATTTTATTTCCAACTGCATAAACTTCTGAGTCCCCAGAAACATGTGCTGGCTTCTGGGATTTTCTCTTGCTGCTTAATTCTTCCACTAAACCAAAAATATCTCTCTCAAGCCCTGGCCTCTTGACCAGCAATTTAGCCTTTCCACAAAACTGAAAGAAAGCCTTGTGCTAAAACTGGAAAATCCAGCATGAAAACTCCACAGCAATCATTATAATGGAGTGTAGAGCGCGGCTTTTGGCCCTGACGCGCACTTTACCATGTGCTCACTATTACCAAATAATAACACAGCAGCCTAGAGAAGTCAGAAACACAGCACTGCACTGTGGGAGAGGAAAAAAACCCCAAAATGTTTTGTTCATGTCATGCCTAAAACTGAAATTTATTCATTCTTTAGCCCTCATCCTCATGATCTTGATATTATAATGTCACTGAGTATCATTGGCCCAGACTGAACAGCTGAAATTTGCGCTCTGAAGCTCTTTTATTCTTTAAACCTTGATAAATTAAATCCATTTGTGTCACTGTAAAACATTGCTGTACTTTTTACAGTATGTACATACTGGCAATTTTGGTTGCAAGCAATACTGTAAAATTTACAAGCGCACTGTAAAATAACAATTACAACTGTGCTGTAGTTTTACAAACCAAAATTGCCAGTAATACTTAAAATTTTACAGCATTTTTTTACAGTATGCTCAATAATGAACATTACTTCATCTATACACTCACCGGCCACTTTATTAGGTACACCTTACTAGTAACTAGTTTGACCCTCTTTTGCCTTCAAAACAGCCTTAATCCTTCGTGGCATAGATTCAACAAGGTACTGGAAATATTCTTCAGAGATTTTGCTCCATATTGATATGATAGCATCACAAAGTTGCTGCAGATTTGTCGGCTGGACATCCATGATGCAAATCTACCGTTCTACCA